TCAGCAGTGTAAGGAATAAGTACTTGCGTTTCAGCAATTTTGCGGGAAGCCTCTTCCATCAAAGGGACTGGAGCGAACATCTGGTTGTTAATCTCCAGCAGGTTAGAAGGCAATGAGGAAAGGGGTGGAACGGAAAAGTCAGAAGATTTTGACGAGGTGGCCATCTTAGTGAGCTTAGGAAAACAGAAAGAGAAGGGTTAACGAATGAGGTAGCAAGGAGGAAGACAACAGCTCAAGGAAGACGATGAAGGTGCAAGCAGAGGGTAAAAGTTCGCATAAAAAACCAAAGTAAAAAACCAAGGGAGAGGTTAAGGAGAAAATCGCCTAGGGAGCTGGAACGACAGACGCGAAAGGTAATAAATGTAGCGTACTGAAAAAGCAACAGACTGATATGATGGCGACGTAAAACAGAAAGGAAAACCTAAAACCCTTTTAACCCTAGAACCCCAGAAAACCTAAACCCTAAGTTCCTTAGGCTTCCAAACATTAAGGCGGGAATATTGAAAGAATATAAACTGAAATCATTCATATTCTTTCAAGGGGGCATTTTGTTATTGTGGAATCGAGAAATATGATCGATTGATAAATCGGTAAGATAGACAAAAGAAATCATTCGATGTCCAATTAGAAGTACGTAGTACATAACATCGAGAGGCACAATCGAAAATTGGGTGAATGATAACCAAATGCTTGTTGTCGAATAAAAAACTAAGAAACTAGAATCATATGATGTTGAGGTTAAACCCAAAGCAATGCAAAGTGTTCGATATCATCGAATGCGAAGGGAACATGGACATCGAAACTCTGGACAAACCACAGAGAAGAATAAGTCAAACGCACGTATAGAAAGCAGTTCTGAGACCATGAAAGGAGTCGAGGATCGTGAGAACGTGGGAAATTGTAGAAAAAGAAACCGTCATGCACGAAAGAACGTGGTAGCAGTCTTATTAACTGTTCCTGGAAGGCTTAAAGGAGGCCCTATAAATAGAGCAAAGAAGGAAGGAAAAAAAGAGAAAAGGGGGGGGGGGCGAGCAGAAATTGGCAGAAAACAGAATCAGTAGTGAGAAAGTCTACCGGAGAATGACGAACACCATGAAGCTTCTGGCAATCTGGATTTCCATGCTCACCGAGTTCATTTACCGCTTTCTGTATTTTCCTTGGTAATTTACTTTGATGCAATTTAAATTCGACAGTTTTATGTTTCTGTATTTTCGATTCCTTGTTATTTCAATTCAATGAAAATTTAAGTTTCGCGTTTAAGTTTCCATGTTATTTATATTTTCTGCAGTTTCGATTTCCGTCATTTAGTTTTTCATGCAAACTTAACTTCCTGCCATTTACATTTCCTTCATTTCCGATTCCTTGTCATTTACAATTATTGCAAACTTTGGGTTCTCGTAATTTACATTTCCTCGCAATTTAACATCTCGTTTTTCGATTCGATAGTTTCATTGCTTTCGATACTTTAAATACAAAATACCAAAAATAGTTTTTTCGATATATTGTGATGTTCGATTCTCATGCATGTTTTCGATTGAAAATCAAATTGCTAGCCTAAGTAAAAAGAACTTACGTGGTAGAATTTTGATTAGGACCAAAACATCCTTAGAATCGAATTCGATCGAAATTCCACAGAAACAATTATATATTTTCTTTCTATCTTGTACATATTTGATAAAAAAATAATCTTTTTATATATAATATACTAAAATTTTCACTATAAGAATTGAGATACCCATAAACAATTTATATTGTGTAAATAAATATAGTTTAATTTTCAATTAAATAATTCAAACAGACAGTTATATTTTTCTTTTTTAATGTCGTAATGAAACATTCATAACTTATATTGTCGTAAAATTGTAGGTTAGAACTTTTTTCAACATTCTGTATCATATTTTTTTTTTATATTTTTACGTATGATTAATATCGAAATATGTTAGGATCTTTATTATTCAAAACATTAGTTTTTTTTTTTAATATAAAAAAATCGTCAATTTCCATTTTTTACCTGTGATTCATTTGGATAATTAGGACATAAAAATAAATTATGTCTTTTTAGAAGTTCTAGTTAAAGTGATTACTACGCACACATCTAAAACTTACCAGATTTAAATTCACTAAGATACGATTATATGTTTTTTACATTCCATATATTCTATTGAAATTCTATTTAACATTTATTTTTTTATAGATAAAAAATAAGAATTTCCAGAAACAATTTTTTTATGCAAAATAAATTGTGTGAATTTAATATTTGTATACAGACATACGATCTACAAAATAATTAATAAAAATATTTAAAGGATATTTCTAAACAATTAAAAAAGTGTAATGTAAAAATATAGGGATTAAAATAAAATATGAATAAATATAATAAAGTATGAAAAACTTACCGACTTAATTTAGTAAATATTATTTATCTTGTCGAACTAAATTACGGGTTAGCCGTAACAGGAAAAATAAGTAAATTATAGTCACCTTTTATATTTATTATTATTTTACCTTATATTTTACTTTATTTAAAATTTATAAAAATTATAATTATCATATTTTCATTATATATATGAGAGATTAAATAAATTTTTCTACTCTTTTTATTTTTTAAAAGTTTTATCTCATAATTATTTTTATTATTAGTATAGTCAAAACTTTATTTAAATAAATTTATGTTTTTTTTGTAATTATCTAATAAAAAATACTACAGTATCACGTAATTGTTTTTATTAATTAACTTAATAAAATTGATGAGAGAAATCACATTAATTTATTTTTACAAAAAATAATTAAATTGGTATTAAAAATAATAGTAAAACAAATTCTTAAAATATTAATGTTAATATAATAATCATAAATATTAATTACACATAATTTAAAATAAAATTATCTGTTTTACATATGTTTTTGTCTCTTTCCTAAATGTTATTTTATAAATGTTTAAGATTTGACAAAAGGATCTTAAGATGTAGTAGAAAAAAAATTAAAAGACAAAGTAAAAGGAATTTTTATTATATGCTATATTTATTATAAAAGATAAATATCTATTAATATATTTAAAATAAAAATTTATCTAAATAGAATATTTGTAATTTTATTTATTCAATTATATTTATTTATTATTTTTACGCAAAATTTAATAATAGAAACTAAATTCCTCTTATCTAATATAAATTTTTTTTTCTCTTTTTATCGACTTTATTTTTGACCTTTATTTACTTCATATTATTTTTATTTTTCTTTATCTTAATACTTAATATATTTTTCTCTCCAACTTTTGTTCTTCAGTTACTTATCTTATTCTTCTAATTAAAAATATTAAATTAAAATTTGATCAAATAAGATTTTTATTATTTTTTAAAAATAAAAATATTTAAATTATCTAAACATATTATACTTTAATATATTATATTTTAAAAACTATTATTAAAAAAATATATATTATATCTCTACTTATAAATATATATATATATATATATAATTTTTAAATTCAATATTAAAATTAAAAAATATCAAAGCATGATAATAATAAATCATTTTATTTATAATAACGTAAATAATTAATTTTAAATTATTTTATCATAATAAATCAATTATTCATTTAGTTAAAAAATATTAATATTTAAAAGTTAAATATATTTTTATTTTTATTATTTTTTAAAAATAAAAATATTTAAATTATCTAAACATATTGTACTTTAATATATTATATTTTAAAAAACTATTATTAAAAAAATACATATCTCTACTTATAAATAAAAAAATATACATATATATAAAATTTTTAAATTTAATATTCAAAATAAAAAAAGATCAACTAAAATCATGATAATAATAATAAGTAATTCTATTTATAATAACGTAAATAATTAATTTTAAACTATTTTATCATAATAAATCAATTATTCATTTAATTAAAAAATATTAAATATTTATAAGTTAATATTATTTTTATTTAATAATTAAATTTAATTATAATTAGGTTGAGTGATAAAGATTAATCATATAAAATTTTTAAAAAATATTTATTAAAAAATCACTTTAAATAAATATTTAATTTTTATCTTAATAATTATAATTTAATAATTTATAATATTTCAAATTTATAATATAATATATTAAATTATAATATTTTTGGATCATTTAAATATTTTTTATTTTTTTAAATAATAAAAATATATTTTATGAAATTTTAATTTTATATTTTTAATTAGAAGAATAAATAAGTGACAGAAGAAAAAAATTAACAGAATAGGAAAAAAATAAAAAAAAGTGGAAAAAGAAATGTAAAAAATACTATTATATCATATCAATTTATTAATTTTGTACATAAATAATAAACAATATAATTAAGTAAATAAACGTATAAATGTTTTATTTAAATAATATTTTATTTAAAATATATTATTTAAGAAATTAATTCTACTCATTTATTCTGAACCTTGAAAAAAAAATTAGAGCGAACCAAAATTGTAATACATGGTCAAAGTCAAAACAAAAACTTAAGTTTATTATTATCAATTTTTTAACTCATTAATTATCAAGGATACAAGATAAGATAAGGCTAATCTAAATTAAACTCAGTAATATTACTTAACACATCACTTATAGTGGTAACACAATCCTATGGGTAAGTGTAATGTGCTGGAGAAATTAAAGACTGGGATAACAAAATCACAAATTATATATGCAATAAGAAATGGTGAATTTAGCGTTTTGTGGGAAGTGTAAATTTTGATTTTCGTTGAAGATGAAAAAGAAAATATGAGCAAAGCATAGGTGTTAACTTTTTCTTACTTCGTTGTGCCCCGGAAATGACAGAGTCCATGAATGAAACATAAAACACAATAAAATAGCAGCACTCCATCGCTTCTTACACAGTTCTAGGGTTTACTCTTTCTTCGCTCGATCAAGAATCCCCGAAACCATTATTTTCATTTCATCCTCAATTTCGATACACTGATTATCATTTCTGAATCAGAATCAAGAATCGCGAGAACAAGATGGGCGTGGGAATATCATTTCTCATAGCGCTGAAAGCAACAACGCTCTTCCTATGCTTCGCGTACCTAAAGAATCTCGGTTTCACTCTCTTCTCTCTCCCTTTCCTCTACGCTTCGCTCATCTCATTCTTGGTCTCAGTTGCTTCTCACCCGTCCATCAACCTTCCAATGCTTCTTGGGAAAACCTCGGATGGAACTTTCCCTCTCTTTTCTCTGATAGTGTTCAGCCCCTACATCTACTTCGTTCGCGTTTTCTCTATGCTTCGAAGACTTCGAAGCGGAGAACCTGCTTACTCACAGGTTCACCACGATCTCTATGTCGGTGGCTGGCCATCGTCGCCTCACATGCTGCCACCTGGCGACCCTGCTATCGTTGATTGCACGTGCGAGTTCCCGCGTGTGAAGGACTTGACTGCGGGGTTGCCCTACCGGTGCATTCCGACGTGGGACACGAGGTCGCCTCAACCTGCTGATATTGAATCCGCTGTTAAGTGGGCCTCTCGACAGAGAGACCTCAATAGGCCCATTTTTGTTCACTGTGCTTATGGTTAGTAAGCTTTATTAGCTTGTTGAAGTTTTATTCATGGTGAATATGGATGCTCTTTAGTCTTGTTCTTCTGTTGCTTCTATGCAATTTGCAATGGGATAGCTGAAAATTTATTTATATAATCGATTATAATCATAATCTGTTGATAGACAAGCATGACGTGTGATGGTCATCTGCAATATTCTCTGTTATTGGAATTTAGAAAAAGGAAAGAAGAAGAAGCGGTGACAAACAGTTAAAATGGGAGTAATGTAACCAATCAAAGGAAAAACACCTTTTCAATTATGTAAGAGGATATAGATCTTTGAACCACTGGATCCCTAAAGGAAACAAAAAGAACTGAGACAACTAGGAGAGGAAAGAATCTGATTACAACAATAGGTTTGACATTGCCAATGGAGTGAGATTTATTTCTATGAAGAATAATTTTGGCTTTTTATTCTACTGGTTGCCTATCTCAGGTTGACTCTATGATTATCGGTGAAGATTGATAAATGCATTTCTTTGGCTCAACAAGAAGAGAGTTGCTAGTTTTGATGTTTAACAAACTTTTCCAATCACAATGCATTAAGTATGTCCTTGGAGGTTTCTGCATCGTGTATTAAACTAGGAATAGAATTGACCCAAAGATGGTATTATACTGCTGTCTAGTATAAGAAACCCAACGGAATTGACCCAAAGGTGGTGTGCATTATTTTGAAAAGTGGGTTTGAGTTCCACCTATTTTGAAAGGGAAAAGTAAGAAAAATGAAATATAGGAATATAATGAAATATGTCATTTGAAGCCTGAAAAACAAATTCTCGCTAAGCATCTGAGTTTTAATTTTGTAAGGTGTGAAAAGTTATTAAAGATAAACTGGTTGGTTTCTCGCTCATTATTAGTAGTATAACACATTCTTCAATGCGTGAAGTTTTAAGGGTCACCAGTCTTTTTAACTAGGTGTTTGGCACTTTGTTGTTGTTCATTATTATGATCACTCCATGAGCTGCAAATATGAGTTGAAGTTATATTTTTTGTTAGAAGCATATATCTATGAAATTGGGCATATTATTACAGCTGCAATTTTATCAACGAGGTAGATTATATGACATTATAAATGTTGCCTTTATACTCATTTTATATTGTATGACTATCTTCAACTTTTTAACTTTTTACGGTGGAAAGGTCATGGAAGAAGTGTCGCAGTTATGTGTGCACTGTTAGTAGCACTAGGCATCACAGAGGATTGGAAGAATGCTGAGAAGCTGATCAAGCAAAAACGGCCTTACATCCGGATGAATGCTCTCCACCGCAAGACACTTGAAGAATGGTCCAGACACCGGTTGTCTGGACCAAAGAAGTAGACTAAGAGACATACATGAGGGTGGGGTCATAGAGTTAATCTGATTCTTTTAGTAAATTCATTGGATGATGGTTTTCCAAACAGTTGTAAACGAAGAGAGACTGTAGAAATATAGATTCTCCTCGTGTCTTTACTTTCTTAGCATTCTTGTTTTCCAGTGAGCCCAAAATCTAATATATGGTTGCCAGTTGTTCCGTAGTCAGCTTGTTCTGCTTTGATCATGTTGAAGCTGATGCGTGGAATAGTGGGATTACATACCATGAGAAGCTGTAACATCTATAGACGTATCATTTCATTGTGTAATGTCCATGAACGATGATTACAAGTCATGTCTTATGTCAATTGTTTGTATATAAGAGGTTGTGATAAAGTAATTATCGATCTTGGTTTCGTTGAGTTGAAATTTTGTATTCGATAAAAATGGAAAAAATGGAAAAATTGAGAGGTTAAGATTTTTGTAAAGTAAGTTGATAGTTTGTTCGGTTGAAGAAAAGTGTGTATTAATATAAAAGGGAAAAAAATCTTAACAAAAAAAGAAAAAAGAAAAAAGATATATATGTAGTTTCCTCTAAACCTTGTCCTAGAATACAGTATATTTTCTCGTTCAAAACTAAAGTGCATTGAAAAGCAAATACATCTCTTTCTAATAAAGATATTTTCTTGTCAAAACTATAACTTAACTTTTTATTTTAAATATTATTATTGCATAAATTTTAGTTTTCATTTTACATTTACAGTATAAGAAAAATAAAATTGAACTTACTTTCTATTATATAAGAGGATATATCCCCATGTATGTATCTTGTTTATAAGAAATTTTTTTAAAGTTTATCTTTGTTATATTTTTTTAAATCATGTAAAATTTTCATTATATTGTTAAAAAAAATCACTCAGTGAATATTTTGTCAATTAACATAAAATAAGTTTTTGGACTCTCTCGATGAATGGTAGGCCATTAGTTGAGGCATATTAACTAATTAGACGTAGAAATTTAAGAAAATAAATTTGATAAGTTTAATAATATTAATTAAATTCATAAAGTCATTAATTTCCATTAAATGATCAAAGCTATCTACATTAATTAGTAGTAGAAGTTAAGAGACCTACTAACTTAGTTTTTAAAATATTTTTATCAGATAAAAACATATTTATTAAATTGAGTGAACAAATATAAACATCAAAGGATTTGTTTTAAATCAAATTTTGCCCTCACCCAATAAACGAGCATTATCGTTTTTGGACTTGGGTTCATCTTGAAAATAAACATTCTTTATTTTTTGGGGCGCGCCCACAGTCAAGTATTCTGAAATATTTCGTTGGGAATAAGAAGATACACTATCACCTAAAAAAAATGTAACAGAAGTTTAACAACTACCCAAAAAAACTCATGTTTAGACAATTGTTCAATTCAATCTAGCATTAAGTTGGAGTCAGGCATTTCCCTTAACCTAAATTTAAATGCAATTTGTGAATTTTACCATAAAACAATCTTTAAACAAAAAAATGGTTCAAGAAAACTTTTTATATTCAACCGATTCAATTCAACTTATTTATTTTGACCCCAATTTCAAAGTTATGTGCGTGACCGGGATTATGACCTATAAACTATTAGGGGTTCATTTTTTTATTTATCAATTAACTATTATAATTAGAGTGTTTATTCTTTGATAAAATCTGAAAATATTTTTTATAGACTAAGATCATTTAGCCAAGGAGACTAATCTTCCTTTCAAAACTTAATTACACCTAAAACCCATGACCCCACAGAAGAATTCAATGAACTAATTAGGCTTTTCTTATTGCAAAGGTCGAATAAAACATAGCCTCAAGTGGTCTTAAGTTCCTGCGCCGACCTCACTTCTCTGACTCACCGAACGCTCAAAAGGTCACTTTCCCATCTCTACCACAAGCCACCTGCTTCGGTACATTCCACTGTCCTTATATATATAACACCCTATTCGTACCCTCATTTTCATTCTCACGTCTCAAAGGCGTCTCCTTTCACCATATTTGTCATCTCTAGACAGTAAGCCTCATACCCCACCTTTTTCTGGCTTCATATTTCCACATCTCTTTCCTGATTTTGGATTTTGGCTTAACTTGTTATGCATGCAGATTACCTACTCTTGTTTTCCTATGTTGTGTTTGTTTTATGATGAAATTTTGTTTTACTGGGTGGTCTTCTCTTATGTCTGATACACAGATTTAATTGATGTTTAAAATTGCTTGATCCACACCCTCTTTCCCATTTCCGTTGATCTTTTTTTTAATTGTTCATTGATTTTTCAATATCTGTTACTTAGAGGAAGAGGGGTTAAGTTGGGGATCAATATGATAATAGGAGGAGAAATTGTTCATTGTTCATGGTTCATTGTTCATGGTTCATTGTTCATTGATTTTTTGGATGATGTTCACTCTGGAGGGGAGCTCAGAGTTTATAATTATTGAATCTTTTTACAATTTCATTTAAAATCCTAGTTTTTTGGGATACAGTGTTTATAGCAGAAATTGCTGACCAAATCACCCTTTTTATAAACTTTGATTTGGTTCCTTGAAAATATCTATGATAAGAGATCGACTCACTATAAGACTGCGATTGTATAGTATTATCCTCGTCCTACAATTTCTTCGACTTGTGGAAGAGGGTGGTGATGTTTATCTCGCGTCCAATATTTACTGGTGGTGGTGGTTGCTTTATGCTCTAACAATGATTTTTAAGACGCAGCTAGGATAGATTAGGCAAACTATATTTACATTTTGTAACATGTCTGGTATAATCCTTGATTTAGGTTCTTTATCGATAAGTAATTTCTGTCAATCCGAGTTACCCTGTATTCTAGAGTGGAGCAAAAGCAAAAGCAATTTCTTGAACGATTGAAAAATCTATGACCTTCCAATTTTTAGTTTTTGTTAGCCAATAGTCATTTTATATTGGATAAAATTCCCAAACGCAGTCAGTTGGTATTTGCGCATACTGTTAGTATGATGCTGATTTTATAGTTAGTTCAAATATTGCATTTTATCTGGTTGGTGAGTTGCTGGTTAGTTCATATAACAGTAAACAAACTTACAAGAAGCATAACAGTTATGTTTTATATGTGAACTTGAGTAATCAAGGTTTGCACTTCATCGAGTGGAGTCATTTTAATGGCAAATTCTTTCTAGTTTTTCACTGTTTTATAAGGAAGTCCAACCTTGACTGTAAGTATTCTGGTGGCTTTTGGATGTGCTTTGTGTTCCATTTCTGGGTAAATTGTGTCTTGCTCCCTGTGCTTGACAGATTAATTTTATTTTAATTTAATTTGAAAACAATTTTTCTATTTAACTTCTATAACAGTTATTGTTTATTTTTCACATTACCTTAACGGTTTAACACCTTCTCAACCTATTCCCTGGATTCATTATTTTACACATTATCCTTCATTCTTTTGCCATTGTTGTTCTAGTGTACAATATATGTTTGAAACGTGGGTTATGACTATTGCGTGGGTCAATGAATAATTTGTCCGGATAATTAAGTGACGTTGTTTCACATTGTTATGTTCTTCTTCCTGTTCACTGCTAGTCTACTCCCATTAATAAGCTTATAGTGGTTTATGTGGTTAACCTTAACAAAAGATTTTACCTATGTTTGGATTCAGGTATAAACATGTCAGCTGTGAACATGTCCACCATGAGATTTCCAAGAGCTTCCTTGTCTGGAACTGTGCCTGCTAGGAGATCTTGTGCTCTTATTAAGAGTCCATCATCTTTTAGTTCTGTGAAAAATGTGTCCAAAGTATTTGGATTGAAATCATCATCCTTTAAAGTGTCAGCAATGGCAGTATATAAAGTGAAACTGGTTGGACCAGATGGTGTAGAGCATGAATTTGAAGCCCCTGATGACAGTTACATTCTGGATTCTGCTGAAAGTGCTGGAGTGGAGCTACCATACTCATGCAGAGCTGGAGCCTGCTCTACTTGTGCTGGCAAACTGGTTTCAGGTGCTGTGGATCAGTCAGACCAATCATTTCTTGAAGAAAAGCAAATGGAGAATGGTTACCTTCTCACATGTGTCTCATACCCAACATCAGATTGTGTGATTCACACCCACAAGGAGGAAGAACTCTGCTAAATGATGAAATCGTGTCTTTAGTTTATCTCTTAATAAGGGTCAACGGTAGGTAGATACATGTGAAACTCTAATGGTGTTTGTTCAACATTTTTAATCCTTCTAAATTTATGTGGAGTTTGAACCTTTAGTATGTAGCCACTGGATCGGTTTGGCTAATAATAAGACAATGTTTCACTCATTATTTTCAGACTTTGCTTCAAAATATGAGTTTTAAAATTAAAGTTGCTGGGTGATTTTTTATTAGAAGCTAGTTCCTTTCAAGATTAAATATCATCAGGATTACAACTTAATCTTTTTAAGTTACTTTAGTTAGTTTTTTTAATCAAGTTGTTTCCTTTATAAAAATTAATTCATTTCGCATGAGTTTTCTTTTACCCTACTACCTATAGGACCCGAGTTTCATAAGAAGAGTATTATCACGATTTGAATGCACATTACGATATCTTAGAAGGTTTCTTTTAATAAATGCTTTGAGTTGTTTTGTATTGTGATATATGGTAAAAGGTGACGCTTGAATAAAGAGCATCTGAATCCAAAGTTTGTTCAAACGGGATCACCGAAATTAAAAAGACTTTTAGAACACTTCAAAATCACCATAATATGGTCGATTTCTTTTTATCTGTGTTTTGTTTTGGAAGAGGCTATTGACACTTTTTATTTTTTTATTTTTCTTCGTCACGATCGCTTTTGTTACATTCTTAAAATACCCCTCTTCCCTCTCACCTTTGTACTTTCACTTTTTCAAATATCCTACTAAAATTTCCTGTAATATGAGTATTTTCTAATGAGTTCTAGAAATTATTTTTCTTAAAAAGGGTAATTTTTTTGAAAAATAAAATAAAATAAAAAATAGTAGGTAGAAGGAGAGCCAAAAAGGTGCTATGGGCCTCTTCTCTTTCTTTGAAGCCTGTGCTTGACCCAAGTTTAAGAAGCACGCACAACGTAGACATGTTTGACATGATGTTTCAATTTTCAACATCATTAGCATACGACAAAAACGTAGATAAAAAGGAAAAGAAAAGAAAATAAAAGAAAGAAAGAAAACAAAAAAACAAAAAAACACTTCATGAATATACGAAAAGCTATGCACGTGCAAATTAAAACAATACCTTCTTCTACATTTGTCCAAACATTGGGTTGTTTTATGAAAATTATATTACTCTTCTCATTTTTATTTTTTTTTTCAGAAAGTTGTAATATCTTTAGTCGAGAGTGTGAATAGATCCTTTTATCTTTTATAATTACTTAATTTATATTGATTTATATGTTGGTGTTTGTTACTAATCTAAATGTTATTTTTGCAAAATTTTCTTTTGGGAGTTGTCCAAAATTGAGCAGATAATTTTGTGAACAAATTTATAAACTCTTTTTTTTAGGTTGTTTCCATTTTTACAATAATTAAAAACATAGATCCAAAAACAGCCTATCCCAATTACGAACAAACATAAGTTAATGAGAAATTAATTACTTAAATTTTACTTTCTTATATATAAGTACTTCAATACATAACAAAATATTTGATGGGATCAAGATACTTTATTTCAAATTCTTTTGAAAAATACTTTTGTAACATTAAACTTTTAATTGTGATCATGATCATTTGTTGTAATAATTATATTATCTACATATATCATAATAACAATTATCTTACCTTCTTATTTATTCAAAAATAAAATATAATTTGAATTATTTTGATGATATTCAAATATTGTCATAGATTTCGCAAACCTTTTAAATTATGAATATAAAAATTATTTCAACCCATATAAAGATTGTTTTAATTTGCATACATTTTTTTGTGTTTTTCGAATACCATGAAATTTAGTAGGAGTTTCATGCCGTGACAGATCTTGATTAATGATTTTTAGAAGAAAAATAATATATTATTAATAAATAATAAGCGAATATGAAAAATAAAAGACAAAAATGTATATGTAAGTTACAATAATGATTAAACAATGTTAATTTTTGTTACAATAATAAATATTTATGTGTAATAAACCTAATATGTATGAGTATATTTTCTTGTTACTAACCTTTATTTATATAATTTTATTGTATCATTTGTTTTGTGTAAATATATGGACATCTTATGGTTTCTTTCTTGATGGATAATCAATAAAAGTCAAGTTTTCATTAATTTGAAATGAGTTAGTCTCTTCATTTAGTGACTTTCAATCTTGGATCAACTAAAAATTTGTTGCAAATTATTAGGGATAATTACAATAAATAACTTATTCATAAATATTTTGCTTGTTTCTAATAACCTATAATTAGATAAATAATGACTCATAAAATATTTAACTTTACTAGAGAAAATTTGTTCATAAGTAAGTTTAATAATATTTATAAGGGAACAATTTGATAATTATTTTTTAGACAATAAATCATTGTCAAAATATTCCCTAAGAGATTCATGTGAACTTCAATGTTATCTTCAACAAGAGATTCACGTGGAACTTTAATGTTATTTTCAATAAGAGATTGATACTGAAAACTCAATATTAACTTCTATAAGATTCGTATGGTGACTTAATATGAATTTATTCTTCCTTATATTCTAAAGAGTGAAGATATTAAATTACATATACTTTAGATTTTATGTTTTATTGTTTTCTTGAATTTTTGATGGTCTTTTCTCTAAAATTAAGACCTACGAGACAAATATATTGCTTCTTTATGAAAAATCACATCATTTATTGTATCTATGTGAATACTTAATAACACCTATATATTTTTTTAATGATTTCATTAACTTTTAAATATTGTTGGAGTTCAAAATTTTGTATACTTTCCACCATTATCACTATACAAAACTTGAAATTGAGTATTATATTGAGTTATTGTCATCTTATGAAATAAATAAATAAAATTAACTTGCCTCTTTTTTTTATTTCATTAAATACAATAAATTCATTAGTGTACAATCATAAATAAAAAATATATCAAACTAAAGAGACTCACCTAAAGTTTGGATTTCACACATTAAAATGTATCATCATAAAGAGTTAAGAACTTTAATTTAAAATTAATGAAATAAAATTCTATGATTAGTTGTCAATTTAAAAATATCACAATTCAAACTAGAATTATTATGTTTTAAAAATAAAATAGAAAATAATTTTTAAAAATACCTAAATGGAGCAAAGACATTGATGTTACACACAAATTTGACATATTTTACTTTTTCATTAGAATTATCAAATTTTAAAACGGGTTATGATTCATATTTTCTTTTTATAAATATAGGTAATATAAGTTTTTTCTCCTAATGTCACAGCGACTTGATTGGTTTGTTTTTATGGATTTAAAAATGAGTTTAAAAAAAAATTAACCTGATGAATCAATTGTTATTTAAAAAATAAATAAAATATTAAAATGTAAATAATGAACAACAGAAACAATAGTTAAAGTACTAGCAGGATTTAAACGCATTTCTTCAATAATATGAACTTAATTTTCATTTTTCAGTAGAAACAATTTCTTTTGTAGATTATTTAATTTGAATAACATTTTCAGAAGCAAATATCATATCATTTGTAGTTTTAGTTTCAATAATCTATATATAATTTAAAATATTAGTAATCTTATCAATTATAAAATAAATATTTTTTTATATTATATTTAATATTTTTTTAAAACTTTGACATTTTTGTCTCATTCCCATCATTACAACATAATTTTAAAAGGGGATTGAAATCTCCTTAAGTTTGAATAACATAAAGAATTATAATTTTGTTTTAAATATATCAAATTTCATCTTTTTCATTTAGAGATTTTAAATTATGTAAGATCTAAAGGAGAGTTGTTACTTAAATACTAATTTAAAAAATATAAATTAAAATATATTTATTATTTAATATAAAATAAAATGTGTACCACTTATTTACAATGTACAAAATTGTGACCAATTATATTATTAATAAAATATAATATTTATTATTATACCAATTTTAATCAAATAATATATAATAATATTTTTTTAAAATAGAAGAAAATAAATATTAACAGAAAATACACAAAAATATTTTTAAACGAGGAAGATATAAATCTTAGAATTTTAGACTCTGTGTCGAGAAAATTCAAGTGGAGTGACATGACTTCAAATATTTAGCTACATTGAAAAGAAAATTTACAAATGTAATTATGATTTGTGAAACTAAATTCAACAAGTTTTTTTTCAAAGTGTATAAGTTGTTGAGCACGCGAAGCTTACTTTTATTTCAATTGTGTATTTATTTTCCATGTTCTACTTACTTTGTATTTTGTTGAAAATAAAGCTAAAAATATATTCAATTTTAGTTTTTGAGATACTATAAAAAACCTTAAAAATAGATGAGTGGTGATTTTTAGAAGTTGGTATTCAGTTATTTTAGATTTCATACATCTCGATAAAAGAGAAAACAAAATAAGAGATTTAATTAAAAAAGACTGTATTTTATTTAGTTGAAAAAATAAATTAAAAATAAATGGGAAAGAAAGAATTTAATAGAGAATGAGAAAACATATTCCCAATTTAGATTATTGGAACAACGAGAGAATTAAGAAAGAGAGAAATATAAATATAAATAATAATAAAAAAGTGCGTTGTTTGGATTTGAAGGAAAAAAAAGGGTAAAAGTCAAATGTCGTTGTTTCCCGCCAAAAGGAAAAACAATCGTTTGAGGTTCCCGCTCTGTTGCTTTTTATGCGCATTCTCCGTATCAAACTACGCAATCGCAAACGCGCGAAGGGTTTCTTTCCAACAATTCCAAGGTTCACTCTTCCCTCTCTTATTATCTTCTGCATCGTTTTTATTTTTGTTTTTGTTTTATTCTGAAACAATCCTTATAACGTAAATCTGAATTCTCTACCTCCTCCATTAATTTCGTTCTTTTGAGGTTTTTGTTTTTTTTTTAGAATTTTATTCACCGATTTGCCATAATTTTAGGGTTAGGTGATCTGTTGCAGACAATACCCATGTTAATTTTTTGTGCACTCAACGTGTTTGTGAAAATTCCTTAGACTATAATGTGTCACAGTTTTATTTTTATTTATTTTTCTTTAGGAAACACGTTCAACGCTTGCTGTTATTTATGCTTGCAGAGTCGAAAATTTGAAACCACTTTTTTTTTTTTTTTCAGAACATTCAATCACTACCCTGTAAGAAAAAAAAAACACATTTGTTAGGCTTCACCTGCAAAGCCTGATTCTTTTTTCTTTTTGTTTCAGGCATGGACATGTCAAATCCTGCTGTATTTGTAAATGCTCAGTTGATTCCCAACTTTACAGGGAAGAAAGTAAGAATAGTGGTTCAGGTGAATCAATGTGATGGCGGGGTTGCCACAGCAAAATCCACTGATGACTCTCAATTAATAATAAAAGGGTTACCACAAGTTCCCATTATGAATTTTATTGAGGTCATTGGTATTGCTGAAAGCAGCAACTCCATTGATGCCGAAATATGGACTGACTTTGGCAACACATTTGGTACCAATCATTCTAATTTATACCTCTTTTTTTTTTTTTTCACTTATTGTGATTCGTTTATTTTCTTCTCAAAATAGAAACGAGTAGCATGAAGTAAATATTTCTTCAAACATGAATTTTGTTCAAATTTAAACCCCAAATTAGATTTATTGGGAAATTGCTCTCTTCCTCTACCATTGGCGCAACAACTAGATTGAGGAACTGGTTGGCATTTCTTAGTTTCTATTGTTCTGTTTCTACCTATTTATGTTGGTTTTGACGTGGCACTATCTGTAGATACCAACTCTTACAATCAGCTGTGCCAACTAGCAAATGGTGAATTCAAAGGTCTGTTTCTCTAGGTACATCAGAGAATGGTGAGTCTGCAACATGATGGCGTTTGAAGTTTCTGTTTTTCATGCTAGAGCATCTCTTTACCTGTAAATGTAGGAATTATGTTTTAGAGTTTATGATGTCCCCTGAATGGCCGAGCACACATGCTCTCTACAAACTGTTACATGTTTTAAATTCTCCTTTAACTTATATCTCGTGTTATATGTTTAGTTTGGCTTATGTCTGTATCTGTCTCCAGTTTCTTCAATTACACTTCACAACGAAAAAAGGACTTGGTTTCATTTAAGCTATCTTACTTTTCACCTAATTAAAATACCTTGGATATTTTTCCTTCTAGTTGTATGTTTATTCATGTTTTTTTATTATATTACTTGAAATCTGTATAGATTTACTCTATTCTATAATTACTTTCTTGATTACCTTTATAACTAGCAACAGTTTTGGTCACTAATTTTAAAATTAAATTGTAGACTTGAATTCATTACATTGAATAAAAAATAAAAAAATTAAAGAATTTATGAATAAAATAAACTTATAATTTAATATTTTTAAAGTTTTTGGTTGAATATAAAATTATATTTTTTTGTATATAATTGACTTATAATTTTGAGAATCTTATTAATTCTTCTCAGAAATACTCAGTAGTTATTTTAATAAAAAAATAAATAAAAACATCATCAATGATGATGAATGGAAGAGATACTGAGTAAAAAAAAAATACATAAATAATATTCTGTTGAGTTTAGAGATTATTCCTACCTTTACACTTATTATTAGATTCCATGTATAGACAGTCGGTACAGTTGGCGTTATATTATCCCAAGTGCTTTTTAAATGATTTCATTAGCTTAGCAAATTCTAAAAATAACAAAGCGCAAAGATTTTGGTTTCATTTTCTGATCTTCCAGTTAAATTGCATCTAATATCTCAATTATTAGAGTGTACTGAAACAGTAGGGCAAAGATGCGTATCCAAATTTTCTTCATAATTTGTTTTTGTAAAAACTTCTAAAAAATACTCTAGAGAATCAGTCTAGACTTAATTCAATTTTATCAAACATATTTAATAGTTGAGATTTATACAGATTTATTTTATGTTCTGATCACATTTTCAATGAATACGTGAATTTTAACATTTTTTTTTACATCTAAGACTGAATAATATTAAATATAAAACAAAATGTTGATGTATTTAGCTAGGATGCTAACATGAGTCAAAAAAATTTAAATTTGAAGCCAACATTATTAATCAATTTATTATACAGTTGATTTATGGATTATAAAAATTAATTATTATTTTAAGATGTTTTTTAAATATATTTTTAGAAATTACACGCACAATTAATTAACATAATAACTGGTCAATATTATTATTAACGAGTATTAGCTCTTTCTTTTCTTCTTTTTTTTTCTAATCTTATGATGAATCAATTTATGACTAAACAAATCGACATTAACAAATCTTTATGGGTATAAACAGGCTAAAGAAAGAAGTGAGTAATTATCTCCGACGATCACATGATTGCGTCAAAGGTTTTGGAATATTTCCACGTCACTCAATCAAATATCACAAACGCACAATAATCACTTTCTTTTCGGCTGTTTGGCCTTAACTCTATTCTGTGTAAGCACTTGAAAGAATCTTCCTTCCTTTTCGTTCTGCACACACAACAAGCCTCCAAACAATGCTCAGTGCGTTTTTTGCATCTCACACTTCTATCCCAAATTCACGTAATTAGATCGTTTGGTTGAAAATTCCACGTCAGGAAGAGATGTGATCAATTTTAGTATATAAGTCAATTACAAACTTCACCAGATAAATTAATTCAAAGTATTGAATTAAGCAATACTCCACTTTTTAATATAATAAAGGTGATGGTTTTTATTTTCATGAAAAACCAGTGATCAGTGATGAGGAAGTTGTTGAAACAAAGTATAAAGATTGATCAATCAAATCGAAATCACACAATCTGGTTTTCGACATTGATCTGTAGTCACTGTTCTGTCTCACATGCTTCTCATTCTTCTTTATTCAGAATGCCACATTGCCTCACATTTCGTACTATTATAGCTATAAGCAACTCAGCTTAACATGCGCGCATTTCACGTGAAACACATGCGAGAAAAATTATTCATTCGATTTACATAGTTTTCTTTTTCTCTTACTTTGGTCATGAAACATTATTTTATTCGACTTCATAATTCAACCTTTTTCATCAAATGAATGTTAACCTCAGTGATATGGTGCTTTGACAATATGCAATCTGGTTATTGAACAAACTCTTGTTCTACTCATTCAAATGGTTAGTAGTATTCGTTACTTTAATCTTTGACAACTCTCGTAATAATTTTCTCTAATAATTAAATTCATATTACCTTTATGTATTTTATTTATAAGAAATTTACTGTAGATGCTGTGATGAAGATACTATTTTTGGTCAAAGTTTGGCCCAAATGCTGTGAGGCCTCATGAATGAAGGTTTTGAGTGACATATTTTGTAGACTAGGTGGACTAACTCTTTGAATTGGGTTTATTCTGTTCTTGTCAGAGTAATTTTTATGGACCTATTATTAATTATCTAATTAAAAATAAATAAATTATTTATTTATATAAGATATTTATAACAAGATTTAACTATTTCACAAATACTTTAATTTTTTTATCAATAATGAAACGATATAACTTGAGCTAAAATAATTCAATTTTAAAAAAATAAGGCACAAAATGGGCGATGAAATTTTTCTAGAAATTAAAACTATACACACAACTGTGGAGATTTAAGTTTTAAATGAAAATATTTTATCTCTGAAACCAATAATATGAACCTATCCGGCACATGTTTTAGAACAATTTATTTTACACAGAAAACAATCATTTTTTGAAAAATCTCATAAAAATTTAACAAAAATGAGTGACTCTTTCTCTAAATTAAATTGAACCCAAGTGTAATGAACTATTGCAATGGATAAAATCAACATCAAAATACTAATTAATCGACCTTTTGTTTTTATAAACAAAAATAATAATTTTAATTTCATAAGAGCTACCATCATAAATAACCAAAAAAGGTGGTTGCTTTACTACTGTCATGAGCTTCTGTGGGACACGTAACAAAGGTGGTTTAAGTTTGTAATCAGTGGTGAGATGAGAAACTAATTGTTTGGTAAGTGATTGGTGATTTTATATTTGGATTTTGGACCACCCACTCTACTTTACTTTCTTATATAAATTAAAAGATTCACAGCATTTTGCACCAAAGATAAGGCCAAACTTTGCTTTGTAATATATTCTTAATTCTTAATTCTCAAAATCATTCCTTCAATTCTGACCTGAAACCAGCTCCTCCTGCACAATCACTCTGACCCAGAAAGTGAAAAGATGCGTCTAGTATTTTTTATTTTCATATAAAAGAAGAATAATTTCCATAGCTTACTAGCTAAAGTCCTAAACCTACAAATGGGTTTCAGAGGATTAGGATTTTCTCTTCTTATCTTCGTCTATCTCATTGATCTTACTCTGGCATATCCTCCTCAGAGCGACTTGGCTTCAGGTACTTTTCCAACTTCTCTCTCTTTTCAGTAACTAAAAAATGTCTTTTATGTTCTAACTCAATTCTTTATCGTACCAATCTCTTCCCCTCTGCATGTGCTCAAATTTATGTACAGCATTTTACTGTTTCTACTGATTTCCAATCAAAACTGATGTTTTAGTTCGATAAAATTTACATTAAAAGACTATGCGATTATCAAAATGAAAACTTTGATTTTTATTGAAAAATAGTAAAAATAACACTTACATTATTGTATCCAAGTTTTTTTTTTTCTTCCCTACAGAAACAGATAGGAAGTCATATGTTGTTGCATGTTGTAACCCTTTATTGAATTGTGGGTACCTACTGAGTGTATGCCAGCTAATAGCTATGGTGTTCATCTCACAGTAAACGTACGATATCGTGTCAAGATTGTAGAAAATGAGCTTAACAATAATATTAGAAGGTGCACATGCATAAGCTTATTGTTTAATAGCATTATTATTATTACAGGGTAATCAAGCTGAGTTTTCTAATTCTCGAACTGTCGAGTCAAGAGTGACCCTCTTTTCCGGTGCTAAATACTTTCTATTGTGTCAAGAATTTCTTCTTTTTTCTGTGCTTCGACAATATTACCTTTTCAATGTTCCTTGTCTCCCACTATTAGAAATCTCAGATGCGATAATTATCTTTTGCTGAAATTACTTTGCAAGACAAGGCATATGAATTTTACTTCAAGTCGGTGAGAAAAGAACAATACGCTTCTGAAAGATGTCTAACAATTTACCACTGGTCGATATCTTTCACTATTATTACTGGTCTTTTTTCGGGGTATCCAATGCCAAAATAAGAACAAATCTTTAACTAGTGAAAATTTCCAATGAGGAAGTGAAGATTTATTACCCTTGTTTTCTTACAGCAGCCTGTGTTAGATTTCTATGTGAAGGGGTCCACTTTGAAGTCAATACTTTAACAAGAGATATGAATATTAGTTATTATATATAACACCAACATTTACCATTGGAATGTGTAAAGTCTTTGTAATAATAGACCATGTCATTTTCTTCTGCAATTCTCATGTGGGCAGGGTTTATATAACCTTGTTAGTTTCTTTCTTGAGCATGTAGTAATACCTTTTTTTAATAGAATTTGTGCAAAAGAGCAAGTTGGAAGATAAGGTATTATATGGAAGAAAGATAGAAGGAGGTGCTGGTCATGGTGGCTCACACGGAAATGGAAATACAGTACCAACTGAAACACGAGGAGGAGGTGGAGCAGTTATACCTGTTTATGCAGCAGGTGCTGCACACAGAAATAACCAACATCAGACCCGTCATGGTGCTGCAAACTGCAACCTTAACGAGATCAGATTTTCAAATATGGTTATGATAGTCCTGATCTATCCTCTCATACTGTCATTTTTGTTGATATAGAATGGGCAAAAACGGTTCATTGTATATTGTGTAACAACTGTTACAGGTTCTATCGAGGAATAGTGTTTGATGATCCAGTGCTATATTTTCCTTAGTTTGAATTTATGACACAATATGCTATGGGTATCTGTTGCTTATGAATAAAACTTTATTCGGATTGTGAGGAATATATTCAGTACTCAGTATAGAACAAAGAACATATAAAGCCCATAAACTTTGAAGAATCTGCACCAAAAAGAAAGGTTTACAGATTCAATGTGGGCGGAAAGTGCTTTGTGGACTAAATTATATGCCTTGCTGAAATTGCAAGTCTGAACTTCATAAATAGTATAGGTAAATGCTACAGAATCTCAATCTCCCCTGAATGCCCCTCCACTTGAAAAAAATGAAACATGACTAAATACAATTTCTCTTTCAAATGTAAACTTGCCAACCTTAATTATTACTTTTTTGCCAAGAGGGCAAGTGAGTTTATTTTAAAGACAAGAATGCACGAGTAGATATTCGGTTTCAAGAATCTGCACCCTAACACATTCAATACATATTCGGTTTCAAGAATCTAAATACGTCTCCAAGAGAAGTTCTTTACTTAAGTTCCGTATCCATAAAAACAATTTTTTATCAACTTTCTTTAATTTTAAACAACTTATAATTTAAGAAATTCTTATTGAAAAAAAAAGTGTTTCTAAGTTGAGTGTAACCATTTTAAACTAAAAAAAGTATTCAATTAGAATCATTGTTTTTCACTTCCTTCCTTGAAAAAGGTATAGATTTTAAACTAAGGGCCAGGAAATGACGCATGTAGGCTCGTTGGGGAGAACTGGTGTCCCCTCAATAATTTGTGGGGAGTTGTGTAAAGGACATTTCGAATCATATCAATAGAAACACATGATTAATACGATGGCTTTAGTTTCAACTCAATAGATATTAGGTATACTAATTTAAATTAACACAATACCAAGCACAGGTATGTTAGAGAAAGTATCATCCAAGAAAGTTTATATATACAGAAAATGTTACCCAACGACGAAATTTGAATGTTCACATTGCTAGAAATTACTGGAATAACCAGAGAGACAATATTTAAGCATCACTTTTAGAAATTAGTGAGGTGCTCTAGTTTCCGAGCCTGAAAAAACCTACTGCGTCCTTTACCACTTGATTCTATTTCTTCACTTCTTATCTTGGATGTGGTAAAACCCACATTGCTTAATTTCAATTGTCGCTTGCCATTATTATTGTTTCTACCACCACCATCTTCATCCAAATTGTCAGACTCCCTGTTAACAATTACAAGCGTTAATGAAGAGTGATAAGCATAAACAACTCTTACATGAATCTTGGAACATAAGAACAGAGAAAATGGAAAGATGATTTCACTCATATCCAGGGTGGGTGCCCGCGCAAGTGATTCATATTTCGTTCAAATCATAGATACGAATTATGATGCGTGCCAATAAACCATTCTTTTCAGAAGAATAAGCCATCAAATTTCAAACAGGGAAGCCAAGGGGTTGTGTTTGGACAGAGCTTACCCAGGGTCAAGGGTTAAGAGTCTTCTTACCCAAGGTTATCAAAGTGTAAAAACTACGTAAACTCGTAAGAATCTTTTTCATATGAAAAATATCAATTTAACAAAATGTACAAGTTTGATAATATCAATTTCATATTACTGAAATAAATAAGAGCATACAATAATATACCAATCAAATATAAATTTTTAAAGTGATAAGATAACAGTGAAATAACTAAAAAAACACAAATGTTATTAAGTTTATAAGTCTTCATCTAATCCTCTAATGAAATAATCTCCTTCGTGATTTTCATCACCATCTTCATTATCACCGTCAAGTTCTTCCTCAAATGAGAAGTGTGTATCAACTTGAGATAAAAAAACTATATTATCAAACTCAAGTGCATCCAACATGAGGAATTTGATCCAACTAAATCAATATTTCCACTGTCACCTTCCACTTGAGTTTGTTCAACATAATCTCCCTCTTTATTTATTCATTTGTCACCTTCCACTTGAGTTTGTTCAACATAATCTCCCTCTTTATTTATTCATTCATCAATGCTGCTTTCAATTCATGAAAACAAGCTAAAGTCAAATAAGTTGTGACAAATCTAGTCTTATCAAGTCTCTCCCCTTTGTGAACTTCTTCAACATGCTAATTAACATTGTTCTACATTAAATGTAGGTGGTGATCTTCTTCCGTTCTTGATAGTTACGTGGTGGACCTTCAAATGTTTCTCAAAATCTTCAAAGATCAAATGTTCTCCACTTGCCTAGAAATTTGTAGCATTATCAGTACCCAACCTGTACTACATTATCTTCTCCAACAAATTTCACTGCATCTAACATCTTAAATACCTTATTTGCAGTCTTAGAAATGTCTAAGGTATCCAATGAATAAAAAAACACAATTCCTTTAGGACTGTTTACCAAAAAGCTACAAATTGAACACATTTTTTTATCTGTCCACCCATTAGACATACTTGTACACCTTGTTCTCTTCCACTCATCTCTATACTTTTGAAGAATTACATCAGTTCTCTCTAACATCATGATAAGATGAAAGTTTATAGCCAATATCATATCTCCCAATCATCTCACATTTTTGCTAAAGCTAGGTTTCTAATAACATTGAATGGAATGACACTTGTGTAGAAAAATTCAACAACTTGACAATCTATTTTTTCGGTATTACCTTTCTTGTATAATTGATTTAGAGTAGCTTGAACTCCGTCACTAGATTTATTACCCTTTCCTTTATTTTTAAATATCCTACTACTTTGACTTTATTCACTTGGTTCATCATCAATTTCCTCAATACTATTCAACCTTCTCTTCTTTATTAAGGTGTCCTTAGCTTCTACGACAACTTTCATCATTAGAATTTTAATTTCTTACGGTATTCAAGCACAAGGTTCAAAATCATATATAGTTATAGTAAGATGATGCTTAAAACTAAAAATTCCTCCATTGAATTTCTTTGAGCAATAATTACATTTCGTTTTTTTTCCATTGCCCAAAACATTTATTTCATACTTCCACCCAATATTTGTTTTATTTCTCTGTGCATTTTTACTTCTAGGTGTAAGTGAAGATATAACTACATTGCCTTCAAAAGAAATTGAACCAATTCCTGATATTTTCAAATTTCAATATTTATATCTAAAATAACCAAAATAAAAACAAATAAAAAATTAATTCAATAAGACTATACAAATTAAAAAAGAATTAATCCAAAATTAGAACTGATATGAAGAATTGGAAGCACATAAAATAAAATCTCTAATCCCTATCCAACCTGGGTTCGTGCAACAAACCAATGTAGACAAGAAGGCAGTGTCAACTAGCAAGACTTATAACAAGAGACGAGCAACAAGACTAGTGACGACTTCAACGACGACCAATAATGAGCAGCATGCAACAACAATCAACAAATAAGACGACTGCAACAACAACCAATGAACAGCACGACAACGACCAACAAGCAACACAACCAATACAGTGACGATGACCAACGAAGTACAACGACAAGCGGTGAGAAGGGACAAAGAGTGCAAAAAACAAGAGAAAACACAATGAAGATCTAGATCTAATGTTCAAAATCTATGTGTCACTTTTCCTCCAAATCCAGTCACTCACCCTAACACTCACGAGTTTGTTGAGAGTTCATCGAGTTTACCGAATTTGAGTCTGGGTCTACTTTGAAACAAGTCTACTCATGAGTGAATTCGTGACCAACCACTAAATTCGCTAACCCATCCAAGTCAACGAGTTGACTCACAAGTTTGATAACCATGTTCCTACCCACTTCATAATTAAATTAAAGCAAAAGGTATAACGAGCCCATGGATAGTTGATGCTACAAGCTTAAAGCTCACATGATCCGTTTGTGTTAAAAATATTAAACCACATCTAACACCTTATGTTGCAGGTAGCATCGATTGTCCCGTGGCAGAGGCCGGATGGGCCGAGTCACAATCGAATCGTGGCACTTGGGTTGTTACTCTTAAGTAAAAAGAGTTGCATTCTGACTAATAACTATAGTTTTTTGCCAAGTGGTAAGTGCTCGATACTAACAATTGGTATCAGAGCCAAGGTCACGAGTTCGATTCATGGTGGGCAACTGTTAAGGGGGAGATTGTTGCGGGTTGCACAATTGTCCCGTGACAGAGGCCGGGTGAACCTAGTCACAATCCAAGAGTGAGATTCCTTGTAGGACAATTGCTGAGAGGGAGATTGTTACAGGTAGCATCAATTATCCTGTGGCAGAGGCCGGGTGGGCTGAATCACAATCGAACCGTGACGCTTGGGCTGTTACTCTTAAGTAAAAAAAGTTGCGCTCTGACTAATAGCTATAGCTTTTGGCCAAGTGGTAAGCGCTCAATCCTAACATCTTAGGCTTTAAGAAGAATGTTAATACAGATAACAAGTGAGCCTTTGGAGCCCTTAAAACTCAAAATAGTTTTCTTGGAAAGATACGAACGAAATTTAAAGTAAATGATAGTCTGAACAGGTTTTAGCTTTTATGTTGAACCCAACATCTGACTTAGATTGCCTATGGTTGTTAAAAATAGCACCTAGCAGTACATTAGCATTATTCTTAATGATCCAGTGTAGTCAAGTAGGCCCTAGTTCAAGTACGCGAAAAGGAAAGTGTTAAAATATATGAAAATTTCTTACCAACTCATAAAACCTTTCGAATTAGTTTCCTGAGTCCTAATCATCTCTTAAAATTACCATATTCCCTTATCCAATGATTTGCTTCCTATTTATTTAGGGTTAAGATCCGTATATCGTAAGGGTTGGTGATCTAAGGGTTAAACTAATCATTTTTCTCCATAAGCAGCACTTATTATGAATCAATCTCTCATAGTACCTGTACGGGCGTGTAATAACTAAATGTAAGTTTTTCTGGGACTAAAACATAAGGAACATGTTAAAAATAAGGATCAATAATAATAACACAAAGAGTAAACTAAGTTCTTTTTCATACAGGAACTAATTGCTAAATGAGTGTCACTTATAGTGACCAAATGATTAATTTGACCATACTCTTAAGTTGAGCGAACATATCACATTGTAATACATGTCCAACACACCATACGAAGGTTTCAAAAGTATTTAGTCTCTAAAACCCCATAATTCATGGCAAACATTTGATATGATGAATGCATTAACATGTATTAAGTAGAAAAAGCTAGGGTATCGTATTATCTAAAGTCAAACATTTCCCAAGGCTTAGGAAAGCAAGCTTACCAGAACACTTCTGCAATATCTTTAAAATAAGAATTGCAGGTTCCCCAACTAAATCGAACCAATGTTGGAAATCCAAAGACATGATGTTTGTGATTCTCTAGCCAAGCCTTGGTTTGAGGGTCTATACAAATGAAAACATAACCATTTTTATTGTAGGTAAAATCCTAGTGCAACATGTGATAGAATCATAGACTTCTCACCTCCAGGATATCCAGAGCCAAAGTTCCTCTGCATGTTTTCAGCAGTCTCATCAAGTACCCATTCTCTTAAAGCACGGTCCCTTGTGACCTGAAAAGATTGGATTAAGGTTGTAAGTAGGCTATAGGACTTTACCAGAGGAAATTTTATAAAGGAGAGACTGGTACCTTTGCAACTATGCTTGCACCACTAACAACAGGGTAAAGGCTATCAGCCTTCTTTGCAACCACAAATTTGATGGATGGAAAACTTTTAGATAGCTTCATTTCATATTTCCCTGGATCTCCAACTGTATCTATATACACCTGTAAGGAACAAATTATGTGCTTCTCACCTCAGTAATTGAATTATCATCTGCTTACTTCTTAATATCAACCCTATTTACTTAACAATAACAAGGTTTAACAGACTCTCTTTTGGTACATAATTCCACTAAATGTTCAAGAAAGGAAACTAAACACCCCATGCCCATTGAAAGTTAAAGTCATCCATAGGAGCATGTTTGAAAGAACATTCAGTTGAACATAACCAACATCCTTGTCATTATATCAAACATTGTAGCTCCTCAGTTTTGTGCACTGAAAAGTGTACAAGGACATTTAGTAGGAGTGAAACGGCAATGCAAACACAGTCAAAGGGTGGTATCGACACCAACCTTGTTGAACCTCAAATAATTTGAACCATACATGAAACAGCTTATATAAATTGGGGAAGGTTTTTAACCTCAGATAGAAGCACTCCCATTTTTAGTACCCTATCAATGAGGCCCATGGCAGAGTCATGGGAAATCTCGTTCAAGTTTATCTTATTCCTATCAAATTTACAACAATAGAGACTAGTCAGTAAATTGAAAATCCAGTGAAACACGGAATGAGTAAGTTTGATCTGTATACTTTTTAAGCATTTTGGCGGAAAGTTCCCGGGGATCAATGACATCAACAGCCCATCCAATAGAATCATTAGTCTTTAAAGTTTCAAACAACTCTTCCCTTTTCTCTTCCTTTAGTGTCTTAGAATCTGTACAACAAAATCGCAAGAGTGAACCTCCAAGTTTCAGTGGATGAACGTCACAATATGCATTGTTTCCAGTAGTTAATCAATTAAATATTTTCCATCTAGTGACCATACGTTATTTAAATCAATATAAAATTAAACTCCTAAGTGAAACTAATAAAATCTCAAAAAAATAATTCAAATAATATATAACATTGAGAACAAATAATAATGTTAATTTTATAATTATATGGTATGGTACCTGCAAAACTCAATGTGGCTAGGGTTTTCATATAGGACTGAGCACAGTATAAGCAACCGTAAACCATAGGCCCTGAAACGATTTCGAAAATATATTAAAAAATAAATAAATAAAAAATTAAAAAAAGAGAAAGATAATGGAAAAGAAAATGCAAACCTAAAACAGGACCTCTTCCAGCTTCATCGATTCCCATGGCACAAGGCTTGGATGCCCACTGGGGAAGAATTTTGGATGTCATTCCTTCCTTCTCTCTAGTGAAGGCCTAAGCGATAGTGAGAAAAGCGCGTTTTGTTGTGATATGAGAAATTAAGCAGATATGTTTCCCGCCACCAATGAATTAGGGCATCAGCTTTAATTCTTATTTTGATTTGTAATAATATCAACATTTTTTAAGATTACATCTTACTCTATTATTATCATAGGCTTTTTAGGTTATTAAATGAAAATTATAAAAACATTCATTAACCTCTCACCCAGTACAAACATGAATTCTACAAATAATATATTAAAAAAAAAAGAATATTTTAAATAGAATAGGATGGGAGTCAATCGATTAGGGTTGTATTTGGATTTGAAGAATAGAAATGAGTTTATTTGAGGGAAAAGATAAATCAAAATGAGATTGTATGGATTAAAAAAATTGGGTGAGAAATGAGAAGAAAGTTTATGAGTAATGAGATTAATTTGATAGATTAAAAAACTGTTTTAATTGATAAAATGATAAGATTATAGTTTTTCTTTTATTTTTAAAAAATAATTTAAAATAAAATATAACTAGTGTAAAATATATTAAAATAAATATGAATTATTATATAAAATAGAAAGAAATAAATATATAAAATTATATTAAAATAAAATGCAATTGTTAAAAATTAATTCCAAAAAATTTTAGGTGATTATTTTAAATAAAATAAATTTGTACTTTTAATTGATACAATTATTTTAAATAAAAATATGGATGTTAATTTAAATTAAAGTAAAAAAATCTATTAAAAATTTTATTTGGATAAAAATAAATAATATGTAATTATTTATGATAAAAATTAATAAAATTAAATTAATGATGAAAATTAATTATTTTTTTAATAGATTTTAAACCCTCTTGTAATAAACAAAACATCAATCAGCAATGTCATTTATACATACAGTGTTACTTATGAAATTATGTAGCTAAACATATAGTTGTTTTATATAATTGTTTTGTATAGGTAGGTCGGTTTGAATTTAGTTAAATTTTGTCCTTATGTACCTTATGAGTTGAATAAATTATTTTTTAAAGTATTGAATTAAATCTTTAAATTATTTTTCATAATAAATTATACGTACATTTTTGTATTTATTTAAATGAATATGAAGAAAATTATTTGTAAATGTAAAAGAGTATTTTTTTTTTAATCTAGAAAAGTACTATATATGATTATACTTGCAGAAAATGTCTTGATTTATTTTAAAGAAAACTCCCCCAACGAAGCATTTGAGACGAGACAGAATTAGAAAAATAAATGGCTTAAAAGAAAGGAATGAAGGTTTCCAATATTTCTACACTTAGTACATTGTCAAATGATCTGCATCCTATTTCATAATTATCCTAATGCACAGTAAGGGTGGCAATTGAATAATTAGTACAAAGTATAATTGATTCTTTTTAGTTAAAAATCAGTTATTTTTTTATAATCAAATTCTCATAAAGAGAAATTTTCATAAATAGTAAATCAATTTTCTATTGTATAAGTGAATAAGAATCGATTATCGTTAAATCAATTCACAAATAATTATAATTGATTATTTGGACATCGAGAATTAATTCTTTATAATTTTGTTCATCCAAAATCAATTTTCTTTACTAAGACTTGATTATCCGCCACCAATAACATGTCACACATAAATAATACTCAACCTCATTATGCGAACGACTAATGTACTCACCCTCGTATATGACCGACAAAGTTACACAATCAATAACACCTCCTCTCATATATTTAATAGTGAATTAAAACTTCACAATGTGACAATTATTATAGTTGGCATGTGCTCCTATAGACTTACCTGAGACGACTCTCTGCGACGAAAAGGGTGTTATGCGAAGCAAAATTATGGTTCACATGAATGAATTTTCGTGCTAACAACTATTTTGAGATGTCATGCACAATGGTTCATGTGAGACTTACAACATTTATGATCTTTGTTTATTCGCTCTTATCCTCGTTATGACGGTATACTTTATTATCTCTTCCGTCAAATTTACTCTCACAAATTTCCTAAAATTGTTGGATCTAATGAAACTCATCATCACTCTTCCATCCATGTGAACAAGACATTACATTAGCGGATCCAAACACAAACTAACCCATCTATATATAGCTCATAAGGTTTTCTTCTATCTTCTCACAAAATTTTTAAATTTTTTTCTCATTTATTCATTATTTTATTCTTTTTCATCTTTTATCTTTTATTTTTATTTTTTCTCTCCCTTATTTTTCTAACTATTAATATTATATTAAAATATTAGAAAAATATATTAAAATAATATTTTTAAAATCAATATTAAATTTTAAAAATATTAAATAATTAATTAAAATCATGATAATAATAAATAATTAATTTAAAATTATTTTATAATAATAAATGAATTTCTCATCAAAATAAAAAATATTAAATATTTATGAGTTAAATTTGTTTTTTTATTTAGTAATACAATTTAGTTATAATTAAATTATTCTACGATAACTAGTCAGATTCAATAATTTTAAAAAATATTTATTAAAAAAATTAATTTAAAATTATTATTATTATTATTTATAATTATAACATAACAATAATATTTTAAACTTTTCATTAAAATTATTATTATTATTATTATTATTTATAGTTATAACATAACAATAATATTTTAAACTTTTCAAAATTTATCATGCAATCTTTTTTAAAAATATAATACATTAAATTATAGTATTTTTTAAATAATTTAAATATTTTTATTTTCTAAAAATAATAAAAAGATCATTTTAACAAAATTTATTCTAACATTTTTAATTAGAATAACATCTTAATGGTATTTTAAAAATTGGATTAGACGGATCAATTCAACAAGTTAAATAAAAATATGGATTAAAAATTGATTGTTACTTTTAAATAACCAAACTTTAAGTAGAAAAGGACAAAATAAAAAAATTGATTGAATTTTTGGATCGAACCAGTTTTAGTAAAATAAATTTATTTAGGATTAATTATTATTTTTTTTAATATAATATTTTACGCTTTTATCTTATTTTAACAATGATCTATTTTTCACTTTTTAATATATTTTATATTTATAATATTTAATCATAACAATAGTTTTTATTATTTTTTATACAAAATATTATTATTAATAAATTTATTATATTATAAAAATATTATTTTATTAAATTCGATTGAACTCCGTTAAATTTTTAAACCCTAAATCTATGACTTCATGGTTCGGTCTAATTTAAAAAATATTACTTAAAACAACTTCCCATTAAAGGAATCCTACATGATATTATAAGTTGCTTAAATGGTAAAAATTATTTTTTTCCTAAATTTATTAGAATGAAAGATCAACATTGAGTTGTTTTAAAATGATTGTTTTACATTTTTCATAAGTAACTAATGTAAATTGTTTCTATTGGAGACGTCTTTAGCATTTTTAAAAGGAAATACTAATGAATAAAATTGAATATTTTATTATATCTTTCACACTTACATTTCACACTTACATTAATTAAAATTGGAGAAATTTGTATAAAATTAGAAAAAAATTAATGTGAATTGCTTCTTATCTTACAAAATGTAAAGCAAACATCTATAATGTTATATCATTTTTAAACAACTCACAGTTAAATTTTGTCTATTAAAAATTTTCTTAATAAATTTTAAAAACTTATTTTTTTCTATTCATTTACTTTGATTTGCTTATCTTTGTAAGTTGTTTAATGAAGTAACTATAAAAAAATAAAATTAAACACTTATCATGTCATAGGATTCCTTCAATGATAAGTTACTTTTAAATAATTAATATTTTATTTAAATATTTCAATAAGCAACTCCAACTAATACTTTATTTAAACATTTCAACTGTCCAAAATTTAAACAACTTTTATGCTATAATTATAATAAAATATTAATTTTTATTTATAAACAACTCTTATTAAAAACTCTATTCAGTGACGTCAATAAACACTCAAAATAAATAAAAAAGAGAATAAGAAAAAAATGAGTTTTCTAAAATTTATTAAAATAAAAAAATGTAATAGAATAAAATTAATAATGAGTTGCTTTAAATTAATATTTCATCAAAAAATCTTATTTTGTATTTTTTTAAGATAGAAAACAGCTCATGTTCTTTTACTGTTAGTGAATATTAGAACATAGAGTAGAGTCTCGGAGATAACAAAAAAAGGGGAAAAAAGAGAAATTAATAATTATATTATATAAGATAATTTTATTATTTTTTATTAAATTGTATGTATTAGATAAATAAAATAATAAAAAATTAATTTAAATATATTTTTTAAATATATTATTTATGAAAATGATTAATAAAAGTTACCCACAATTTTTTAAATTTAACCAGAAATATCAAATTTAAATTTTAGGTGAATTGTCGTATTAACAGTGTTAAAAAATAAAAAATAAAGAATCACGGTGATTTATAAAAACAAAATTGTTTTTCTTAATATATGTTTGTGCTCAATAATATTTTTCATATATTTGATAGTAACATTTAAAATAATAATAATAATAATAAATAATAAAAATATTACAACTGGATTTAATTATATAACTGCTATCTTAATAAATTAAATATATTACAGAAACATTTGTAATTTAAAAAGATTAAATGCAATTAGAGACTAAAAAATGATTGAATTAATTACTATAAAGTAAGACATTGAAATTGTTTAATAATTAAGCTCTACCTCATAATTTTATAGCTTAAAAGTAACAAATAAATAAAATTTGTTTGATTATATTGTAATAAAACTCGTTTCTTTTAGGTAGAAAAGTATATATAAAGAGTTTACATTTTGTATACATATATTAAATGAATATTTGTGTTTTCATTATAATTATGTTATGGAGATATGTACAAATAATAAGTGTACAATCAAATATGAAACTTTAACTGAAGTTAAAGTATTTTTAAAAATATCATTAAATAAATTAAAATGTATTTATATTAAAGAAAAAAATCTTTTATGTGTTGCTTATAAATTAATCTTTTGTAACTAAGTTTTATTCCATCAAAATTTTATGCTTAATAATTATGTTTTTAATATTTATAATTAAATTTCATACAATATATATATAAAAAGAGAGAGGTTACTCAATGGAAGAGTAAACATTATTTAAAACAAAAATTTATCATTATTTTTATAATATGATAGTTAATAAATTATATTTTAAATCGTTAAAATAATAATAATAATAATAAATAAATAAATAAATAGCTTATCTTTGTTATTTAACTAAGTAACCAAATTCTTTATCATTATTACTACTTATGATTCAATTTCAAATTAGATGGATAAACAAAAAATCAATCTTTCAAATAAACACAAAGGTTTAAAATTGCACAAAACTAGAAGTGAAAGTAATATACATCAAATACATTGTTCTAAAAATTTAACCTGATAAAAAAAATGAATAATTAAAATTGCACAATCCTGAAAGTAATATACATCAGATACATTGTTCTAAAAATTTAACCTGATAAAAAGATGTAAATTAAATTAAAATTTGATGTTATGTATAATCACTTCAATATGATTGAAGTGCAAGGCATTTCATGACTTTACCACATATCATGAAGATATTTCAAATGATATTGATATCAACTTTAATACTAGATAGTTGTCACTGATGTTAGAAAGTAAACTGTCTCAAACTCGACTTTTTAACTATCATAAAAAAGGCTGAAGGAATCCTCCCCTCTCATTGGTGCAATGAGTAAGAAAGAACTTTATACAGAGGAGGAGAGACTAATATTTTGAAGCGAGTGAGTATTACGAAGCGATGATAATAAATGATGATTTCAGGTTACGAAGTCCAAAAACAGAGTCCACCCGACAGAGGTAAGAGTTAAACTTATGACAGGGTTTCTGAAGCCTAACTCCTAGCCAACTTGTTCCATGTCAAGGTTCCGAGGAGTCTTGAAAATTGTATACAGGTAACGGCTAATAGTCGATGCAATTGTACTATAAATACATGTATCTGTTCTCTTTTCAATTGAATAGTATTACAAATCTATAATTCGTATTTATTAGAGTGACTTACTGTGAAATTTGCACAGATTCTCCAACTTCAAATTTCTCTCATGGATACTCATCCTGGTCAGAGTTGCGCAACCCTGCCAATCAATTTCTTCAAGATTATTATTGAAACTAATGTTGAAAGGATAGTAAGTAATGTTACATAAATTTTACTATGTGGTCTTTCTAAGCATAATAGCATATGTATCTGCATCAGATGTTTTCATATATATATATATATATATATATATATATATATATATATGTCATCCTTTGATAACATGCAGTATAATATTGATTAGAACAGAAAAAAATGGTTAGGTTAATTGTTTGTATATTTATGGTAGAAACATGAACATTTGTTAGGTGTACTGATAATAGTTTGTTTGCAGAAACTACCCAACAAGTTTACAAGGAGATATGGGGGTGGTTTGTCAAATCCAGTGTCCCTTAAGTCTCCCGATATCAAGGAATGGGTAGTTCATTGGACAAAAGAGAATGGTGATATTTGGTTAGAAAAGGGTTGGAAAGAGTTTGTTGAAAACTATTCCTTAGTTCGGGGGCATTTGGTATTGTTCAAGTACGCAGGAACTTCCAATATAGATGTACTCATACTTGATCAGAGTGGCCTAGAATTAGATTATTCTTCTTCTGAATCAGTTAGACAAAGAAACGTGGAAAGAGACCCCAATGTGCTAAAATTGCTTGCAGTTGAGGGTATTTGTTCTGATCAAAGGGCCATTGTTTCAAAAACAATCAAGCAGAAACCAGAAGGTATGTTATTCATGAAAGATATCTTAACTGAACAAAAATATTTGAAGATTGAATGAACATGTAATAAGAATATATACATATATAGACCATAGGTGGTTAACATTGTCAAATTCAAGAGGGGTCTAAAATTTAGTATCTTTTAACTATAATTTGCAAACCATTCAAAATGGTTGTGACTTGTTTTATTTTTGTCATTAACAGATGTGAATCCTACTCAAAGTGGAACATGTTTGAATATGCCGCCGTTGAAAAGAGCTCAACAAATAACAACAAAATTCAAATCAAGCCATGTTTATTTCACTCTTGTGATAAGGAAGTCCAAGTTTGAGAAATATGCTGCGGTAAGTTTTAACATGAATGCTGAAACATGATAGGTATATATTTCTGCAGCTGCATTGTGTTCATGAGTTTATTACTTTTTCAGTTCTGAGTTCCTTTGTCACTATTGTAATACTATTACTTTAAGCAGACACATGTGCCCAGGTTTTTGGATTGTGTGAACGGGAAGCAGGACGTGATGCTGAAGATGGGCGACAAGTTGTGGTGTGTGAACTTAGTCCGTGGTCGTGATAAGCGATATGATCGATTCTGTTCTGGTTGGTCTATTTTTGCACAAGAGAGCAAATTGGAATCTGGTGACGTTTGTATCTTTGAGTTGATTAAACCCGAAGTTCCACTGCTTCAAGTTCATGTTTTCAAACGCTAGCTTGGTCCAATTAGTTACTTTATGTTCTTGTAGCTGTTGCTTTCTTTCAATTTCTATCTATGGTTTTAATATTTTCATGTAATGGTTTTGAGAAATTTGAATAAAAGTTTTGTTCAGTGATTCTTTTGCTTTATCAATATCTGAATTTCTTATGTTGTTAAAGTACTCGAATAACATATACAACGCCCGTGTATGTATACTACTGCAATTATTCTGTGTCATAAAGATCAGGTTTTTCCCCATACCCTGTAAGTAAATGTGTGGCAGGACTAGTCTGATCAACCCTTGTTGCAACTTGTGGGAATGTTCACATCTAGAGATAGATATGAATGAAATCGAATGTGCTTTTTCCCAGCATTGTGAATGATGCTGTAGAAAGTTTATTCCAGGTGCAACTCTTTGCCCTGATACATGCATATATATTCAACATTGGTTTTGTTATACTGATATAAGCACAATCTTGCGTATTCTACAAAATTGATGAATTATATTAATGTTTTATATGGTAATAATATACATTACAACAATCTATTAGTGATTGATCAAAATAATCAATACAATAATTTATTTAATAAATTATTTATTTAAAAGGTGGAAAATAAAATAGTTTTTTTTTGTTAATACTTCTATTTATGAAAGTGTGATTGATCAAAATGTATAGAACATGCACTGAATATATTTTATGTCTATATTTTCTTTCATAATTACTTTTTTTTTTAACACAAAGTACTTCAGATTGGTTTAGCGTTATTTACCCGAATGGAACACATAATTTGTCTGATATGGTTTAAAATTTTATGAATATTAGTTCTCTAAAAATAATAGCTTGACTTAAACATCATCAAATTCTAACTAAAATTATTCGTACCCAAACTTTCACACATAAAATTTTGTTCTCTCGTACGAATCATGTGACATGTCAAGTGTATTGAAATTGCTACCACTACATGTATCATTTCTTTTACTATAAGAATAAGTTTTGTCATGTCGTAGGTAAATCCTAGCCGTGATCATTTTTAGTAAAATGAGCATGTCTTACAATGCTTATATAAATTCTCCTGGTTTGTTGTCTCCATCCTTGTACGTTTCCTTTTCACTATACCCTCACCATATCTCATTACACTGCATGCAACGATTAAGATGACATAAATTTTCATTTATGCACGATTTCCCACTTTCTCTAGCTTTGACCCAAAAATGGATTATGAAACCTTGAAACAGAAGTAAGAAAATAAAATGATGCTAGTTGTTACATTGACGATAAGTTCATCATTTGGGCAAAGGTAACAATCAAATTTAAGGAGTATATGAATAATAGGTGAGTGTTTGGTAGTACTGAATGTTGAAGTGGTGGTTAGTGGTTAGAATGGTTCTGGTGAGAGTGAAAGTTCCCCGGTGGTGACATTGTGTGATTGCAATGAAGATGAGTGCATTGAAGGTAACAATGATGTGGTGATGAAGAAAGAGAAAGATGATAAATTATTAATAATGACAGTGAGACGGTTCAGATTGGGAGAGTGGGTTGTAGAAACCAGTGAAAATGATAACAAGAGCAGAAAATTATGAAGAAAGGGAGAAATAGGGTGATGGGGGCAGTTAATGGAAGTTGGTAGTGCCGTATTGCCAATGTTACTGCTTCAAATAGGCAGCTAAATGACCATGGTTAGCTATGACAAAATTATGTAAAACATTTATATATAATAATGAATTTATTCTTCTATGCAAATATGATAGATCCATTCTCAAATGATTAGCTGCTGAATTTGTATGCCAAATCATAATCTATCAAACTCAATTTGTCATATATTTCCACCCCTGTTCAATTAACACGGCATTCAAGTTTTACCTCAACGATCCAAAAAGAAAAAAGAGACTTATAATTTTAATGTAGTACGGAAGCTAGCTTTGAATCTGATGCTTTAGCAAGAGGTAAGAGAAATTTGGAAGGGGTACCACGTGAGCTATCAGATAATGCAGAAACAAGAACTTGGCTAAATAATTTCAACAATGTGAGTTGTTACAAATCATAACAGGAAATCTGGCAAACTTAACTTACTTTTCAATATATTTGGATGTACATTATTTAGGAACATGTTCATGACAACCTTATCCAAACTATTATGAGGAAAAGGAAAAAGAAAAAGAAAAAGAAAAAGCCCTGCTTTTCCAAATGCTGTCCATTCGTTCTGTTTCCTTAACCGAAAGGCCAGGCTGACATGTTCAAGCAGAGTGTCTCAAGTCACAAAAGCCGAACCATGAAACCCCACACATACGCTGGGTACTTGTTTCCTTTAGAGAACTGGCTCAAAAAAAGAAGAAGCAATTTTACATCTATTGACAAAACAAGCCTGACAGTTCATCCATGTGTGCACAATGATTGAACCCATTAACAAGATCTGTCACTTAACTATCATCTTGAGCATAGATTCCATTTTTTCTTTGTCCCTACACTTGCTGATCAAGTCCAGGTACTTCATAGCATCACAAGAAGGGAGACCTTCAAGAAGAAGCTTCAACAACCGACTGTGTGTTCCCTGCATCACATCAAAACACTGCTCCAGAGCACTCAATTCCTGTTCTTTGCTCAACTCCAAAGCCTCCATTAGTGGAAGTAATTCCACCTCCTCTTCCGCAAAATGTTGCTTGCATTTCCCCTACATAAGTAACAACAAAATCACACCCAGATCTCAAATTGACAATGTAAATGCTAGTCAGAGTATTGTTCCAAATGACATTTGTAAAAGAACTGAAGAAAAATACAAAAATCAAATACAATTGCCGAAGTCTTTTCTCACAAAGTAAAATCAGCTGTATGGATCAAGTTTACTAAGAAGCTAATAGTGTGTTTTTGTAAACACTTTTGCCCCAAAAAAAACACATTCATGGCATGAAAAACACAAGCTAAAACCTATGGTGTTCATTTTAATCTAAAGGAATCACATCTGAGATCAGTTTCCAAACTTACCCCAACAGTTATAGCTTCCACATCCCAGATTTGATTTCTTATTTCTCAACAGGTTTTCAACCATGCCAGAAGTCAAATAGAATTTATAAAAAAATCCAAATTTAGAGCATGACAAATAGAATTATCATTTCTAGCTGCTGAACATACCAGCAATGACTTGAGCCGAGTAAAAAGGCTGTACAAAGCCTCTTGGTGATCAGGGCTGCCAGAGTCCAAAACCCCAACAGATTTTATGACTTCTTTTATGCCATTCATTAGAGGTAGGTCCCTGGCATGTTCCTCTTTTGCAGCTTTAGCAAGCCCTGCATTTTTTTCCCAAAAAAATTACCATATAACATACATATATGCGTTCATCCATTCACAGCATTGCTTCGAAGGCAAGTAAAATTTCACATGGGCTCTTACCAAACCATATACAACAAAATATGTGACAAAAATCGTATAAAGCCATAACAAAAATAAAAAAACTATATATGAAATTTGTGTTGGTAGCTACCTCGATCGGCGTGATCAAAAATAGGAAACAGGACGGTTTCTTCCATCTGCGCGTGCTCCATCATGATCTCAAGCAGCTCCGAGTAGCTCCTGGCGAATTTCCTAATCTCCATCCTGGGAGTCCCCATGGAAGGATCAACGGTCTTCCTTCCGCCACGTGTCGTCAGATCCTCCGCCCACCTCACCATCCGCTCCACGTGCCACAACATGCTGGTGTGCTGCACTCGCGTCAGGCTCGCCAGCAACGGCGCCGTCGCCGTTTCGTCCTCCCTCCCGTTCCCGCTCCCCACCGAGGAGGGCCCCGGGAACCGCGCGTCGATGAAACGCAGCAGCGTCTCGCGTGACCCCGATACAACCTCCGACCCCACCTGCAGCGTCACTGCACCACCCTCCGCTTCGCTCCCTCCCACGCGCTCCGTCTCCACAAAGTCCAACGAAACCGCCCTGTGAAGAAGCGCGAACCGAATGTACGCCGCGAGAATACTCTTCGGCGAACCATGTAATCGGACGGTGGGATACACTCGCGCTCCGTCGCGTGGGACTATCTCCGCCGTTAATTTCTCCGACTTCCCGCAACAGTTCCCCATTAAAAAAAAAAAAAAAACAAATTTTTGGGTTGGGTTTGGGATTGGATTAAGATACTGGTAGTAGAAGTGTTTGTTCTTACTTAATAGGAATAAAATCGAGACAGTTGACGCTTAAACGAACTGAAAACGACACCGTACTTTGGATTCTATTGCTACGCTATTGCTATGGGAGGGAAGATAAGGGATATGAAATGGTTTTGACCCGAGTCTGGTGAGTTGGCTTCCTGGTGAAGCCATGAATGGACATTTTTGTGGCGCTGTTTTATGCTTCGTTTGGAAGAAACAAATAAAGCAAAAGCTCACAAATTTGCATCATAAACATGTACTAGATACAATCTCAAAACCACCTTAAACATATCTCACTCTTCTCATTTCTTAATTATGAAAAAGTGTGTGAGAGTGGAAGCATCCATGTTGAGGACCATCGGGTCACGTGGCAGAGTTTTTGGGCTTTGTTCATCTTCCAGATACGTGATCTTGTAAATTACCACTATGTATTCTAAAAATAAAATCAAATACAGTCTCTGAGGAAACAAGAAAACAGGGTCAAATGAATTAATGCAAATACTGTTGGTCAACACCAAATTTTTCATCCATTTAATACTTTCATGTTCTTAAAATTCCTTAACAACTTTCTTCAATGTTGTGTTTTTCTTTTCCGTTGAAATATTTGATTAATATGTTTTTAGTTCTCATAAAATTAACCAGTTTTAAATTTTTTTCTTGATAAAAATATATTTAGAAATTAAGAATAATTTATATGAAGAATAGTGAAGTACATAACAAAGTAAGTCAATAGGGTTTTTTTTGATCGAATATTATGGTATTTATTAATTTAAAAATGAGTCTTTCTTTTCTTTTGCCTTTATTTATTGATTTACTTTTTTATAATAATTAAAATAAAAACGTATTATATTTTCTTAAATTTTAAAAATATGTATAAGGCATGTATATTGAAAAAAATAAAATAATTAATATAATTCAAAATATTATAAAATTTTTGTTCAGAATACTGCTCTGATAATAGTTTCCTCGAAGCAACCGTCATACATTGTCCCGTTGTTCTGTAACGTTTGGCCGTCGTGTCCACATTTAATGAGTCAACTTCAATCAACAATTTTTTTTACTTGTTTATAAAAACTAAAGAGAATTTTTTTATAATTTTAATTTTAACAGTTACTATTCATGACATAAAAAAATGATGAATACAATATGAAAATGCTGATAAGTAAGAAAACAAATGTAAAATTGAATTCAGTCAACAATTTTAATTATAATTAATATTTACTTGTAAAAATATGTATTAATCCACTATATAAGTTAATGCTGCTTCTTTCTTGTATCAAACAAATATCACCGAAAACCTTTAAAAAGAAAGACAAATGACACCGCTAATAAAATTCATATACAAATATATAAATTAAATGAAAATATCTTCCTACAATCAAAAATTAATAATTCGTAAATTAAATTCTACTCAACTAATTTACTTATATTTTTACGAGTATAACTAAAATTTTAAACTGATGGTGATTATTGGAGTCATTAAATTATATTTAATGCTAATAAATATAATGCGTTTGATGGAGTGAACCAATCAAATTATTTATTACTCTATGTACTGATTTTGAAAGTGAATTAATTTAGGGCATGAAACTTGAAAATAAAATATAAAGACATTATGTTAAAGGAATCTACTAGGATATATTATTATTTGTGTTTATTTGTTGTATTTATAACAAGTAAAGTGGGTGAACTAGCCGTTGTTGGGTATGAGTGAATGATAGAAGAAGATTGTTGTTAAAAGAACAGATGTGGCAGTAGCCATGTGAATACGGAACGTGAGAGGTATAAGCTAGGAAGGAAGCATGTGTAAGTTTCCTCTCACTGAATGGTGGACCATGTTTAGGTTATTATCATTGGCCACTTTAAAACATCATTCTTCCATTTCCAACACAATAAAAACTAAACCTTTGCCTCCAAATGCTTCTTACAGAGGTTGTTTCCTCAGTTGTGCAATATTTTGGCGTAGGTGAATTTCCCATCACATTAACCCCACATGCTATGCTACAGGAGTTAGGACAGATGGGATGACTTGCTCGCCTAATCCGTCAATTCCAGAATAAAGACTAGGGGATGAATTGATTTATAATAAACCAATATTTATATTTTAAAATAAAAATATATTATATTATATTTATTTTATGATATCAAATATACAAATACATGATAATATTGTAATTTAAATCATAAATATTAATTAATTAAATTTTAATTATTAATTATAATTAAAATTGTTAATATATAAATATAATATATTTTGTTATTTATTTTATAAAATATTAATTAATGAATTAAATATTAAAAATATTTATATAATTAAAAAATATTGATAGATTAATTATTAATCTATTTTTATTAAAATATATACAATTTTATAACACCTTTTGATTATAATAATTCAGTCTATTTCATTATTATTAGGTGAGAGATGGAATAAGACAACTTTATTATCCTATCCCATAATTCATGTAAAATATTAATATTTTTCTTATTAATTTTTATTTAAAACCCAGTAATATACTTCTCTACGTTTTCATAATTTATTTAATTTCATTTTATTGTCTTTTCACTTAAGATTATTTTAATTTATAAAATAAAAATTTATTAATATTTTGTACGGATTAGATCAAAATTAGACTAAAAATAAATATAAAGATCTAAATTATTTAATTTAAAATATGTTTTTGAATTTATAAATGAGTTTAAAAATATTTAATTCTAAATATAATTTTTAGAAAAGACAATCCAAAAATATATTTCTAATATATTTTCAAATGTATTTTTAAAATATATTTTCAAATGTATTTTTAAATTAGTTATTTTGAAAATACATTTAATGTTATGAAAATGGATTGCGGAGTGTGAATCCATAAATAAGTTATAGTAATATAAACGAGTTTTAATGAAGGGTAAAAAAAGATTTGTTGTAATTACGGGAATATAAGAAGGGATTGTGGAGATGCTACCTCTCGGCCTATTATTGATACGGCCCAAATCAAAAGCCTATTTTCCTTTAAGTTTTATTATTTTGGGCCTTTGGCTCTGTTTGTAGTGCCTACCAAAAACAATAAATATTAACTCAACTAGTCAATCCATTTAACTCTTGAAATAAATAAATAAACTGTTAAAGATGTTTCAAAATCATCTCATCCTATCAATATGCCATTATAAGTTATTTTAAAAATAAAATAAAAAAAGCATCACACATTATTTATAATTAATTAAGATCTAATTAATCTCTTATAACTTTAAAATATCACTTTAGTTTTTTTAGATATATAAATAATTTCTTATTTATGTGAGACCTATCTAAATGTGTGAAAAATGTATGATAAATCATAGTTTTTAGCGTAAAAAATTATTCTAACTCAATACTCAACAAATTTACAAATTATTCTTCTATCATAAATAAGATATGTAATTAAAAATGTTAATTTCTTCTCGATATTAATATATTATAAGATAAATATTTTTGTTCTCATTAGTTTTTAAATTTCATTTTACAATTATTTTTAGTATATTTTAGTCCCACTTAATTAAAAAATGTGTCATGTTAAAATGGTTTGTAATTTGTAGTGTTCATTATAAATATAAATCTAAAATATAATATGTATATTTAATGAAATTAAATGATATATTATATTTTTTTCAAATATTGTCAGGCAAATAAAATAAAAAAACGAAACGCAGTAGAACAACCTCGCTTTGTCTTCCATTGCAATATTTCTCAGCAGTGAAAACATTTCTACTCGTTTGTGTCTTCGCTCTTTTCTTCTGAGATCAGATCTGCGCTCTCCGATCTCAGATCGCGTTTCGGTGAATCATCTCTCACTCGCCACTTTCATTATTCTCTTATCTCTTCAGATTCGCCGTTCAATTATACCTCATTGCATACCTCACCTTGGGATCTGATGTCTTCTAACACTCTGTTTAATTTTTTTTGTTTGGCAGATTCAATTCGACACTAGAAACGATTTCCTTGCTTCAAAAATTAAGTGGAAAAGATGGTAACGCTTCTTACACTCCCTTCGTTTGATATTCGAGGACTTGCTTGTTTTTGTAAACTATTTAACACTGATTATTTTAGTTTCTTCATTTTATTTGTGGCTTTTTACCTGTTAGGTATATTGACATTGGTGGCATGATTCTCCCCTTGGAAATGTTATTTTCGTTTTGTGTATATGTAGTTTTATCCCGTGATTTAGAATTACAGCCCGAAGGGACTTACTAATGTGTCTTGATCTGCTTTAAAATTGAAATACTTTTATAATATTTTTTCCTCCGTAGTACAATTTCTGGTAATCTTAGATCTGCTGATGTAGCTTATGCTTCATGTGTTGTTTTTGTCTATCTTGATTTAGCTACGTGACTATGAATGTTTAAATGTTTAATGTAATCTTGAATTAGTGTTATGTTTGATTGTAAGAGAAATTTACTTTGCAAATGCCAGTCGGGGTGATGAGAGGATGAGATGGGTTTGGACAGAGGTCACTTTGAAATGGGGTGTGCATATTCTCCATCAATTATTTTACTTCTCTTTCGCACCATTAATTTTTTCAATTTACCTGTGCAATAGGTTGTCCTTGCTGCATCCATTGTGAGCAAATCTGGCAAAGGTGAGTTCTCTGCAGCCCTCGTCAACTGACTTGTTCCTTACTTGTTGCTGGTATAGCGTGGTTTGGTTCCATTTTTAGTCGTTGTATTTCTGTACCCCACTAAAGGACAATTTCACCTAAATGAAGAAAAACACATTGGACATACTTCCATTCCAGGTGCAAGGTGCATCTCTTTAAAAGTAGATCAGAGTTTGGACATGTGGCCATCGTTATTTATAATATTTGAATTTTTAAAAAAATCGTTATTCTGCACCTTAAAAAAAAAGGTTTGTGTGTGTCTGGGTTAGCATAGGTAAAATTGATTTTGAGGTGAACTGATTATGTCTTTAAATGTGCGCAATTGTAAAATCAATCTTGAATGAAAATGATTTTTAAAATTGATTTTGGCTCAATTTATTTTGTAATAAATTTGTGCCAAATGTGTAAACTTTTCAACCTAACATACAAGCTACTTTTTATCACTTATAGTCAAATTTAGTTTCGGAGGCAAAAACAATTTTAACAAACATAAGCATTTTTACTAAAATCACATTTGGGGTAGGAGGCATAACCAATTCTGACACAGTATTTTGTATAATGATTAAATTGGGAAGCATGCTGTATCTTTTGTTATATACTATTTTATCTGTGAAGTGTATAATCTATCTTCTTATCACCCTTTACGTAACGTATTTATGAAATTCTTTTCCTACTTGAATAATTGAATCTGTTAATTGTGTCAGATTCTCAATAGCACTTCAATTTAAATTGCCATTAATTGATTTTATTAAATTCAGGATTATTTTTAAGTTTATAAAGAAAAGCTTAGTTTAGAATTGATGCTGATTTTGGTGGTCCTTAAATAATTAAGTATTTGATATCAATGCTCTCATGCTGTCAAGACTTTTGCTTTGTTTGCAGTGCTAGTTTCTAGACAGTTTGTGGACATGACTCGCATAAGAATTGAGGGTCTTCTAGCAGCATTTCCCAAGTTGGTTGGGACTGGGAAACAACACACATACGTTGAGACTGAGAATGTGCGTTATGTTTACCAGCCAATAGAAGCACTGTACCTGCTTCTTGTAACAAACAAAAACAGTAACATACTGGAAGATTTGGAAACTCTGAGACTTCTCTCTAAACTTGTATCCTTTTTCTGATGCTTAAAGTTTGACATTTTATGTTATTATGTAAATTCTTTTTCATTTGCTTGATCTTTTGTTATCCGGTTAGTGGCATTATTTGTTTTCTCTCTAGTATAACTTACGGGTTTGAATATAGAAATTGTTCTGTCATCTGTGCCTTGCCTACTCATTTTCTTGTCATATTGGTTGTCTCATGAAGCATTAATGTTACAATCTTTCACGTTATAGGCTTATCTTACCTTAGACGTAGCATTTAGTATTTTGATTTCTATAGGAAGGCCCAGGAGGGTTTAAGATTGGTCAAATGGCTGGTAGTGGGAGGTTATTTTAGATTTATTGGTCTTTTTTGAGTCATTCGGTAAATATTTCTCCAAATATCAATATTACAATGAGTTTATTCCTTAATACTTTTAGGTACCTGAATATTCTTACTCTCTTGATGAAGAGGGTATTTGCAAACATGCCTTTGAGTTGATTTTTGCATTTGATGAAGTCATCTCTCTTGGGCACAAGGAAAATGTGACTGTTGCACAAGTGAAGCAATACTGTGAGATGGAGAGTCATGAAGAGAAGCTGCACAAGTTGGTTTTGCAGAGCAAGATTAATGAAACTAAGGATGTTATGAAGCGAAAAGCTAGTGAGATTGATAAAAGCAAGGTATGATTGAAGGTTCTATGTTTTATTATAATGGTTACATTTAAAGTCTAGGATTGCACATCATTTATTCAAGCCATGCGTTCTTCAGATTGAAAAGAACAGAGGTGAAAAGGGAGGGTTTGGTCCATTGCAGTCTATGGGCTCTGGAAGAATTGAAAATAGCTTTAGTGATTTGAGTATATCTAGCAGTGGAACTGGTTTTGGAAGCGGCTCTGGTTTTGGATTGTCTTCTGATGTTGATTCCTTTTCAACCAAGCCTAAAGGTTGGCTTTCATATATTTTCCACGAATCCTTCTAGAATGTTTTGTATGCAATGACTTAAAAGGGTAATGAAACATGTTGGGTCGTGGTTGTGGTTTATTCTGTATCTAGAATTAACATTTGTTAAATGGGAGTAGCCTTTTCATTCATGTATCCATTAATCTCTTGCTTAGGTCGTCCCACTTCATCAGCCACAGCTCCACCAAAAGGTCTTGGAATGAAGCTTGGGAAATCTCAAAGGACAAATCAGTTTTTGGAATCATTGAAAGCAGAAGGTGAGGTCATTCTTGAAGATGTTCAGCCAAAACTCTCCCAGTCTCGTGCTGCTGCCCTGCCACCTACTGATCCCATCACTTTGACTGTTGAGGAGAAACTGAATGTGACACTGAAACGAGATGGTGGTGTCAGTAATTTTGATGTTCAAGGCACATTGTCTCTACAAATTCTTAACCAAGAGGATGGACATATTCAAGTACAGGTATCACATTCTCACTGTCCCTACCTTAATGTGTGTCCACTAGGCTTCTGGTTTTTATAATCTGAATAGTTTATTTTTTAAATAATTGATTATTTATTGTCATGAAATATTACAATTGTTCCAATAAAACTTTTCAGTAGTAAGGGAAAGAAATTCATATAATACACTTTTTTTCCTACAAGGATAACAGCCAAAGCCTTTTCTACTACGTGGGTTCAGTAGTATGGATTAAATAACACTATTGTGTCATGTCAAAAACCAATTCCTTAGATCTATGAAACAGTTTTTTCCCTCTGAAAGTTTCTTGTGTTTTTTTATGTTTTCTTTACTTTGTTCTCACACAATCCTCACAGTTTGCATCCTCCATAAGACTAGTATAGTTGGTAGACAATTAATTTTTCAAAAGAATAACGTTTCAAAAGCAGCCTGTGTTTAAGCCTAGTGCAATTTTTAAATAAGTTAACCGTAAGTTTAGCTCCACATTTTATTTGAGATGTAGATGAAAGTAGCTTTAGGCGTTCTTAGTCATTCAAATAATCTTCTCGTCACAACCAAAGGGGGAAATATGAGGGAGTAAGAGAAAGGGAAAATGTAAAAAAGGGAAAGAGACCACATAACAGTGGCAGTTCAGTTAGTCAGAAAGATGAAATTGAAAGGAAGATAATTGGTGGTTACAATGCCTGTAGTCTGATAATAGTGCTGTTTCTTGGGTTGTCCATGAAGTATTCTGGTGCTTTTGTTATCTGGTGTATATCTAGGGTTTCCTGAAATAACCAATTTTGTTAAGCATTGATTTCTAGTTTTTTTTAATCAAGAAGAAGAAAAGCAGAAATTGTATTTTATGTCTGAGATACAATTGTCATGTCAACATTCAAATGATTGATTTTTCCGTCCAGTTTTATTTGTTTTGTTTCAACCTACTATTTCAAAACTTCTGCACGGTAATTAATGTTGATCCCTACCATCCTTTATTTGTAATGCTCCTAGATATTTTTCCTGCTCCAGACTGGTTTTGAATGCAGATATAGGCTTAGGTCAGTTGAAAGTATTAATACTTGCATATCGTGTCTTTCTTTTGCAGGTCCAAACTGGTGACAATCAGGCTGTCTCTTTCAAGACACACCCTAACATGAATAAAGAATTATTTGCCAATGATTGCATACTAGGCCTAAAGGATCCCAACAGGCCTTTCCCCACTGGTCAAGCCAGTGATGCTGGAGGTGTTGGTCTTTTGAAGTGGAGAATGCAAAGTAGTGATGAGTCAATGGTGCCGCTGACAAGTGGGCTTATAACTATTACCTATATGCTCTACTACTTGTATTGATGTATTAATAACTTAGTCTGCTGTATGTGTCTACTGCAGTCAACTGCTGGCCCTCCTCTTCTGGAAATGAAACTTATGTCAGCATTGAATATGAGGCTTCATCAATATTTGATTTGCGGAATGTTGTGATCTCTGTACCTCTTCCAGCTCTCCGTGAAGCACCTTCTGTTAGACAGATTGATGGGGAATGGAGGTACGGGTTTCTTTTTCCTTCCTCTCAACAAGTGTTAGGGACAACCATAGTTTGTGTTTTGGGTTGAATTTTGTAGTAAATAAGCTGATGGTTTTAATTAGAAATTATCTGTTACATAAGTTAATGGTTGTTTGCAGTCATAGAAACTTGAATGTACTGAATCTACTGAGCAGATTTGCGTGGATTCTCTTTGTTCTTTTTAGATAATGAATTGTTAAATATAATCATTAGTATTTTATTTTTTGGTTCTAAATAATTTAATTTCAGGTTACGATCTTGATTTGTTTATAAAACTGGCTTTGTAGGTATGACTCCAGGAATTCCTTTTTGGAGTGGTCTGTCCTTCTAATTGATAATTCCAACCGCAGGTATGCTATATTTGGAGTATCCTTTTATAGCTAATTTATTCCTTTTATTATTTCTCTCTTTAATTTCTGTTTACTTTTGCTTTGTGACTCATATTCGGCAGTGGGTCCATGGAGTTTGTTGTTCCACTAGCAGATTCATCGGCATTTTTTCCCATTTCGGTCCGATTTATGGCAACTGATACTTTTAGTGATCTCAAGGTTTGTTTACTTTTTTACTTCAACTGTGGCTGTGCTGTATGTGGTGCTATTTGGTATGAAGTTTCAAAATCATCTAGTTGAAACTGACACATTGACCCAAATATTTGATTTAAGGGGAGCTTAAACTTACTTTTAACTGCTCGTTGCAGGTCACCAACATTATACCATTAAACGGTGGTAATCCTCCCAAATTTGCTCAGAGAACACAGTTGATAACAGATAACTACCAAGTTGTGTGATTGATTTTCCTCCTGAATTTGAGCTGCTATAACAGTTTTGCATTTACAGATGCAGTTGTTTTATGAATAGGGTTTTTCTTCGCCAAGTTGTACTTGTCTCTCAATTCATGTATTTGTACTTGTTAGTTTTACTTCGCAAGACATGGCGCAAAGCATGATTTATCGTAATTAATGCTTAAGTGTGTCTATATACTCTGTAGCATGTATCTTTTATGTGGAAGGATGCATCTCCAATCTTCCCTTTGTGTGATAGACGAGTCTTGTATTTTTCTAAGACATGCGTATCGAATACACTATTGTATTACATGGGATTTAACCAATTAGACGGAAAGAGTTAACTTTTAATTTGAATCCATTCTATCGTGCAACTTATGCTGTTAGAACCATCTTATTCATGGAACAAACGTATAGCCTATCACCTCTGGAGGCTAGGCCATTGTCCGTAAAATGTTCTCCCACAGCACCATGTGAAATTTCAGACTTCCCATTCAGTAATGCCTATCCGGATTGGGATTTCTTGTGAATGCTAATGTTAGAAGAGGCAATGCTTTGGTTGGTTATGTAATGTTGCAGAGTTTCTTCACAATGTGATTAAAACATTGTCATTAAATTCAACGAGTGCCAAAATCGAGCAGAGTATTTCTTAATATCAATTAACCAAACCTAGTCACAAATATCCATTTTTGTTGGTCTAATAGTCAGACTCTTTGAATTTGTGCTTTTATACGCACGTTTTGAGTAATAAAGAGGGACCTTGAAGGACATGCTAATATCCTGCGGAACCCAACGCAAGCAATCTCATGAAAACAACATGGCCGAGGAGCTTATAACTCAGGATGGCAGGTCTCCAACATGTGGGGAGACAAATTAAATTTCTAATTTCAATTTTTTTTAATGTTCCTTACATTTAAAAATAACATAATTTAAAAAAAAATTATCTTTTAATATTAGGATGCAAGGAATATGAAAGCATTATATATAAATGGTTGCAATATCAGTTTGAGATATTTAAGAGTGACTGCCCAGGACCATGGGATCAGGTGCATAATGGATCATCAAATAGGAAGTGGACTCATTATAATATTCAACATGTTAGCAGATCCAGCAAATTAGGCAGCTCATATTGTCTAGAATATCCATAGAAAAACCCTGATGTGTTTTTTCTGTTGTATTCCTTATAGTTTTCAAATATTATTGAAATGGAAAAGTACTTCCCTTTGATCAAAGAAAAAAAAACTGTGTAAAGGGAGAAGGTTCCACCCAAATGAGAAGGATGTTTATAAATGGATTCAATAAAGAAAATCAACCAAAAAACAATGAAAATCAAATAAATCGAGAATGGAAGCCCATGAAACTCGTTTTTAATCTTTTCTCACCCGAAATTGGGTAAATATATAATGAAATGCATAATTGCTTTCCTTTTCTTGTTAAGGCCGAACCGTGGTTGAGTTCCAGCTAATGCCATTGAAAGTTGTGGAAGCATGCAATTGCATAACCCCTGCTGCTCTATTTAACATTTTTAATTGAAACAAATAAATAAATTAGGAAGACATGAGGCAATAGTCTACGTAATGCTAAAAACATTGTTATCATGATATACACAACCAATCCAGATATGCCATCTAGTAAGAGCTTGATTCAAAATAACTAGCAGTTCTCCACAAGCTTAATTACAGTCTATGATAGTAACCATAAATTCCAGTGCCAAATTTCATGTACACGTGCTATATATCATTTTTGTGCATCCCTTGTCTTGTAAAGACTTCAACTTTTTATAAGTTCCATTAACATTTAAAACCCCCACAAGCAATAACCCACAGAATTATGATTAAGATAAGGATTCCTCCTCCCACCATCAGCTTCAATTGGAGATTCTGCAGCCACATCTTCCTTCTCAGCTGCCTACCCTGCCTCTGAAAGCTGTCAGCCTAAATTTGAATGGAACATACGATATCATCAGTATGATTACTTCAGAGTTCAGGCTAGTTGATTCAATCAGTGTTTCCTTTAAATAAACAAAGAATTTAATTAGAAAGGAGGAATACAAATGCTTGATTTGGACAATAGTACATGCCTGGAACTGCAAGTTTTCTGTTTTGTCCACCAGCAGTTCAATCTTCTCTCCACGATCCAAAACCTTCAAAATGAAAAATACAAATGTTGTTTAAAAGTGCTTAATATTGAGCAACAAAGTGGATTTTGAAAAAGGTTAAAATGTAAAAGCAGTCTATTGTTCTAGTTTTGATTTGCCAGTTCCATGGCAGTTTTCATGTGATGAAATCTTCTATTCTCCCTCAATACTACGTGGATCAAATTCTATAGTTTTTAATATTAATTGACCAAACCTTTACTAAGGGCGTCAACATCCTTTTTGTTGGTCTAACTGTCACAGTGCTGAACTTATGCTTTTATGCACATACAATTTATGTTACCAAAAGGGTAATATTGAATTACAGCCGACTGAAGATCCTACTAATATGCTATGAAATCAAATCCAAGCAATCTCATGAAGCTACCCCGGCATAAAAAGGACATTTTCTCTTAATATTGGATCCAGAACCTCTCTTATTGTTAAATAACAACAGAATGTTCAGTCAGAGAATAAGGTGCAGTTCTAAATACAGCTACAGGACCATATAAACCCACAATGGCAGGTCCCTACTCAGTGAAATGACTCTCTCTCCCACAACCTAATTGTCCTGTGTGATAGGAGAGGATCTTTGAGTATGCCTAAAAAAATTAAAATTGAAATGAATGCAAACATTTCTTGTATGAGCCATGTCATTTTACTAGCCAGATGAGTACAATCTCTTATGCATAGACTGGAAACTATTTTTTTTTTTTCATGACTAAAAACCTTCCAAAACTCAAGGCTCAATAAACATAAGCTGCCAGTCTTTTATGCATGAATATGCAAAAGACTCAACAGCCAGTCTCCATCTACTCCCCCTCGGGTGGCTCAATCCAGTAACTGGCCTAAAGACAAAATAGAAAAGAAGTATGCATCCTTTCATTATTGAACATAAATGTTAGTTTTTTACTCCTTTTTAACAGTCTTTTAAGGTTATTGCAGAGAGATCAAGAAACATATCTAAGATCCTCATCCTCATCCTTATGTATATTGAAATTATTAGTAATTTCCTAAGATGCCTTTTATCTATTCTATTAACAAGGCAAATATATAGCTAATGTTTGGATAATAAAAAAACAGATAAATAAGATAATAAATGCGAGCTTATAAAGTTAAAAAGTACTTTCTTCAATAAACGGGCTTAATTTGATCATTATCCACTTGAGTAATTTTTCAACAGACAAAAACCTAACACTTTATCTTTTGAACACAACCAATCAAAACATTACACATAAAAGATGACAACATAAAAATTAATCAATAATACAATAACAAAGCAGCACAATCCCCGTGCACTGGACACATTCTCTGCCTTCTCTCTTTCTAATTTGTCCCTTTCCTTTCTTGAGCAAAATACAAACTCCATTGGTAGTCCACAAAGAAAATTGGAAAAAAGAAAAAAAGTCCAGTTCAGTGAATTATGAGAAGAACCGACACTTAACTTCAATTTGAGTTCTCATGAATCCCATAGTGGATTTTTTTACAAAAAACAATAGACCTTGAATGTCATGGTTCCTACAAAAGCATCTAAATCCTAAACCGACTTCTCCATACAATATAATTTCACTTTTCAGAAATGGGAAGGGAGAAATGAAAATCTGAGAAAGGGCAGGGGAGTGAACAAGCCCACTACCCAGCCCTTTTTATTTTTCCTTCTTTTTTTGTGTTGTGATTTTGATTGGTTGTGTCGTGACCAAAGACACATAAGAATAATCAAATCCTCTTAGTCATGTGTATCTTAAGAAATGGTAAATGTCTCTTTATTAATATTTTGTGCATTTTATGCAAAGTGTCATCCACCCCTAATTTAGTGTATCTAGTCCGTATCATATCTAATATTTGAAGGAGTTTTTCGTATGTCCATATCTATGTCATGCGGTATCCATACACATTAATATTAAGCATATGGGCTTCAAATTTTTATAGGTCCCAGTAAGAAACCATATTAGAATTCACTAGTTTGAAACAGCATTGCAATACTAATGTTATCATCCATCCCTTATTGACAAACTCCTTCCACCCTTCTCCAAAATTAAGCTAAATCGCACAAACACAAAGAACAGCATATCCAGTGATAAACTAGTTAGCATCTATGCAAAGATATGTAGTTAAAAAAGATTTGATAGTATGTCACTTTAGGCTTAGTTACATATACGTACCTTCTCAATATTGTCCATCATTATCCCCTTGACCTCAGTTATTTGAGCCTTCAACTTTGATAGTTTACTTATTTCTTCTGGATGATTCAAGCAATACTGCATATGCTCCTTGAGTGCTGGTCTGCATAACCAGATCAAAAATTTAAAAACACTAAAAACAAAAAGTAAAAAGAAGTAAAAGAAAACTTAAATGGACCAGCAACAACAAACCCAAATTCTCTATCAAGATTATATGCTATGCTAAATCTGTCCTCAAACAAATCATCATCATCATCGTCATCATCCGCAAGGGGATGGGCACTATCATTCTTAATGCTTGCCCCATAGCGCTTCACAAAGTCATCCTTCACCCGTTCAAGAAATACAAAAGGAACGCTCCTTCCAACTGATTCATCAGCAACAACAAGGAAAACTGCAAAGCGGAGCAAAAAATTTCTGACATTGGCATATGTATTAAAAGTCAAATCAGCATAGCAGGCAATAATTCATAAAAACAAGTAGGAAGAATAAATACCAAATCCATCGTCTATGAGGAAGTTAAAAGTGTGCCCATCACAGGAATACGTGTATTTGTTGCTATTTGATGGTAGCTTCTGCAGGCACTGAACAGCAATGGTACTGAAATTCCCCGTATACTCTGTGTGCTCCGCTAAAACAACAGTTCCTTTGGCAACAAAGCTATATATTAAACCCCGCTGATTCATCTCCAATTTCCTACAAGTTCCACCACGAGAAGGTACAAACAGTCACACCAACACCTGAATCCCACAACAACCAATCCAAGATGCAAATCAAGAAACCAATCACAAACACCCAAGATAAACCATGAGCTGTAATTGCAACTTGCAAGTACCGATCTAATAGGGCCTAAATGCTAAATCTAATCGATGTCAGACTTAAACCGAATTTGATTGAATTCAAGCAACAATGACCGTAAGAGAAATCTCAATTCACGATAAGTTAAATTCTTAATTAGTAAATGTGAAAAAGGGGCCGGCTTTGCATCAGTGCATGCTCACCTTGAATTTGTCAAAATCTCGAGTCAAACTCAAACTCAAACTCTACAACCTAATTCGTTTCGGATCCTGAATTGTATGGGAAAGGGAGAAAAAGACGGGTTTCGAAAAGTTGGAGTTGGAGAGCGAATCCTGTGATCTAATCGTAAGATTTACGAATCTGAGTGAGAATTGATTGTTAGATGAAGATTGAGAGAGAGAGAGAGAGAGAGAGAGAGAGAGAAGAAAACTAACCCGAGTGGAGTAACGATCGAGATGAAAGGTTTGCTGGTTTGGTTGTTGAATGTGATGAGATGATCCAACAAAACCACAGCAGCGTGCTTTTAGCTTCTGCTAATCCGCAACACAGATTCCTCAATTTTTCTATTTTTCTCGTTTTATCTTTTTCCCTTTCCGTGTATATTAAGATAACTCACTATTATTATGAAAATTATTAATCAATAAATATACGTCTAAATTCAAAACAAATATGTAAAGAACCGAACCTGTATTATTCTTTCTTAAAAAAATTAATTTGTTTTTATATTTTTAAATAAATCAGATATTAAATTATTAATTAGATCTATCTAATGTTAATAAGTAGCACAAGATCTTAAATATATATATTATCTTTTTTCAATATCATAAGGTAAAACTCTAATTAAAAAACAATAAAAAGTAGATATTTTTCCTTATCTTTTGGTATTATCCATTTCATATTTGAAGTAATATTAGTTTAATTTGAAATTAACTAAAAAAATCAACACTTATATTGCCTAATTTTTGTATCGTCGTCAATAGTTTGTTACGAGCGTTTGTGGATGAAAGATATGAGGCGATCCCTTTCCACATATAATTAAGAAGACAATTATTTTTCCATAATAAACTGTTCACAATACACAAGTGATTAAGAGCAAATCCACTTATTTATAACTTTCTAATTAACTGATACATGACACAATTTGAACTACCACTATTTCCCGTTGCTTGCTTCATCAAAACTTGTTCTTGTACCAATACACGCCCCTCTGGGAATTTCCTTTGTCTGGCTCCACATAGAGGCACTCTTTTGCTTCTCTCCACAGTGCCTTGTAAAATGGGGTGTCATCAAAATGGTAGTACTCACCCAATATAGGCTTGATTGCACTGGTTGCCTCCATTGCATGATAATGTGGCATTGTAGAGAAGAGATGGTGAGTCACATGAGTATCAGTTATGTGGTGAAACACTTTATTCAGAATCCCATAATCTCTGTCCATAGTTGCCAAGGCACCCTTCAGCCAGTCCCATTCTGATGAATCATAGTGAGGCAAGGCAGAGTGTGTGTGCTGCAAATATGTGATGGTCACAAGAAAGCCATTTACAATGAACCATGGCACCCCATAAACACATACCAGCCAAACCAGCCCTCTCGCAGTTGCAATGCGGTAGAGAAAGTATGTTGCAGAAAACAAAGTAGCATCAGAAACATAGATCAGGAGCCTTTCACGGTCTGAATATATGGGAGCATAAGGATGGTAGTGGCTTGCAAAACGATCATAGGGTCTACCGGAAACATTGATGGCCAAATACAAGGGCCATCCTAGTGTGAGTGTGATGAGAAGAGAAACAGCCCTTCCTATTGGGTTGTTCAAGCACTTGTGATACCATGCAACAGTGGATTTGGATTTTGGGACAAACACTTCATCGCGTTCAAGGGAACCTGTATTGGAGTGATGGCGGCGATGGCTTATTTTCCATGAAAAATAAGGGACTAGAAGTGCTGAGTGAAGGGTCAAACCAACTATATCATCAACCCATTGGTACTTGCTAAAGGCATGGTGACCACACTCATGAGCAATCACCCACACCCCAGTGAGAATGCAACCTTGGAGAACCCAATAGATTGGCCAAGCAATGAGGGAAAAGGGGTGAGAAAGGAGGTAGAAGTAGGTAGTGGCAACGTAGAGAATGAAGGCCATTGAAAGGTCACAAACAACATAGTAGAATGAAGAGAGGAGGGAACGCTCAAAGCAATGTGGGGGAATGGCTTTCTTGAGTTGGCCAACAGTGAATGGAGGCTTCGTGTTTGGAACCCTTGAGAGAGTGTTTTGCTGAACTTCAAATTTGGTCACAAGGCCTCCAGTTACCATTGTTTTCCCTGCTAAAAGCCCTGTGTAGTTTAAGAAAGTTTAGTTCAGTTTTTGCTAAATGCTTAATATAGATCCAACAGAACTGCAATATATTCCTCAATTTTAAACCAGAACCAATTTTTTTAAAGTAAACCTGAGTGCGAAATAGTGACCATTTAACAAAAAGTAACCTGCACGAAATGTTTTGATGGTCCTATACAGTGGTATTACAGCCAGTTGTTTGTCAATAAAGACAAGTGCTGATATTGTACCATGAACATGTAATGATACAGACCATATAAAAATTTCTTGTATCTAACAGGGATATGCAAAACAAACAAGGCGACAGCAGCACATTGCAATAGGAAAAGAGGGAATTCTGTACCAGATTCATATGCATGGGCCTATTACTCAGTAGGTGTAACGCCATGATTTTGTATACGTGTGAGGCCTACATGCAGAAATACTGGTATGTATGTCAGTGCAAGGCTAACATGCAAAACCAAACACAAGGACAAAAGGACACAAAGCACAGAGGGTTTGTAGTCTAACTATGACAGGTCAATTTGCAAATCCACCATTTAAAACCAATGTGCTCTCTTGCATTCATGCTCTTCAATCCACTCCACACTTCACATTCTTTCCTCTTAATTCATTCTTTGGATATAATGAACTCCACTTTAGAAACTATAAGATCAGTGAACAAGTTACATGAATTGGCAAATGCTTGTATTATGTTATTAATTTCAAAGCAATGAAGATTAAGTAAAAGAAGAAATAAACAATGCAGAAAATAGATATACAGTACCACATAGCAGTTACAAAAAAAGCAAATGCTGAAACATAACTTGCAACTGAACCTCATACATGTTACATTACATTTTCTCAGTGATCTTATAATTCGTGAATGACTAAAATATAAGTCAGTCCACTAATGGACCTATGATAAAGAGAACAAGAGAAAACTTTATGTAAATCTTTCTACAATACATGTATAATATGATGGAATAACAAATGTAAAATCAGTACTTAGCTTTTTTTTCTTGTTGATATTTTAAGTGTTTTACCATTCCCATAGAAAGGAAAAAAAAAAATACTACTTAAGGGAGAAGAAGAAGAAGAAGAGAATACGTTTTAAAAGTGATATTCCTACTGCTACATAGCCATGTTCCTGTCAAAATATGGCATTGGAACAAAATAAGAAATATGATGACAAATGGAATAAAGAACATAAAGCACGTCGTTCCCAAAACAGGAGTTAAATGACAGAGGAATCTTCAGAAATTCTGCAGAATAGTTGAAAAGAAAAAAAGGAAAATAATGGACTGCTATCTACCAAATATGGAGGACCCAGGGGATTCCAGAATCCGTGTGGCAGCACTTATATTTGATGATGAACACGTAATTCTTGAATTTGTGTGATTCAAATGCAACGTATAAAAGAAAGTTGTCTTCCTTTTCTCAATTAGAATGTTAAAGAAAACTAAGAAACTAACTAAATAATTGGGAGGTAAAATTTGTGAGATGATAAGTACCACAGAGAAATTATAAGATGGTTACTTTTTTTTTTTATATAAATCATCCCAGATTTATTTATTCTTTTCTCTTCCATTATACAGAGCATAGTAGATGAATTATTTTATTTCTTAAAAAAATATTTTTTTTTAGATTTAAAAAATGTATTATAATTTATTTTGATAATAAAATTTTATTATTATCTATTGTTTTAATATATTCTCTTATTGCCATTAATATGATATTTGATGTTGGAAAAAATTTATCGCAAGGAAATACTTAATATTTGTATGTTCATTTATGACTCACTTCTCTCAGAGGTTATATGGTATATTAGTTATGATTTATGTCGTTATTCCAACAGGTAATGCAATTTATAGTAAAAGGTACATAAGTCGTTAAAATCATGATTGCAAAATATGAGATAAAGAAGTTCAGTAAGACTAATTTCTCATCGTGGAAATTGAAAATAAAGATAATTTTGAAAAAAAAAATTGTATAGATGTAATTGGAGAAAGACTCGTGGGCATCAAAGATCAAATGTGGACAAAAATAAACAATAACAACACTAGCAAATTTGCATTTAACTTTAGCAAATGCAGTTTTGTTTAACATTGTAAAAAATAGTATAACAAAGGAGATTTGGAAGTCTCTCGTCAGATTGTACAGGGTTAAGTCCTTTCACATAAGAGTGTTTTTGAAGATAAAATTATATACCATTCGAATTAGTGGTTCCACATTGGTAACAAACCACATCAACAATCTGAATACATTGTTTGCCCAACTTTCAGCCACAAATCTCAACATAATTAAAAATGAACATGTATAACTTCTACTTCAGAGTTTACCAGATTTGTATGTTCAACTTGTCATCAATATAACGAATAATTATATTAATAGACATTTACACTTTGAGAGTTACTCTTAGAAGAAGAATCCAGATGAAGAAGTAAGGTGAAAAATTTGAATCACGCATAAGCTTTAACGATGATGAGAGGTAAATTAACAAAATACGACTTTAGTGGAAGTCAAAAATCACAGTGGATCAAATTCTAGAAGAATCTCATTTACTACCATTGTGACAAGAAATGACATATGTCAAGAAAGATGGTTGGCTTAGGATAACATAGATTGAAGTTTGTTAAAGTGATTATAAGGAGGAAATACACATTGGACTATGTTCAAGTTTATTATGATGTGTTGAAATCGTCAGTCCTTAGAAGGGGTCAAATATTTTGTATTAGTGATAATTAATCTAGAAGATTATGGGTATATCGCATCAAAAGTGAATATGTGTTTTCAAAGTTTAAGAAAAAACTAGATCCAAAATTCAGAAAAAACAAATTTTTGGGATATACTAACAATGTAAAACAGTATTTCCTATAAGATCTCACTATCCACAAGGTTATTTTTATTGAGGATATAAATTTTGTTTTTTTTTTCATGGTGAACTTGGAGAGATAATTGATATGGTCAAACTAGAAGATTTAAAGAAAAAATAAACTTGGTTTCCTGGTTAATCAAATTTTTATATGATTTAAACTGGGTGCCCAAGTGTTAGTACATAAGATTTGATTATTCATGATTAGTCTTGATTACAACTGACTAAATTCAAACTATAATACCTATTACAATAGATTTGGCGAGAATGATTTTATTATTTTGTCGTTGTATATGGATAACATATTAATGGTAGACCCCAACAAAGTTCGAATTCAAGTTTTGAAGGCACAGTTAGTAAGGAAATTTGATTTGAAGGACTAGAGACCAGCAAACAATATTTTAGGGATGTAAATTCGTCAAGACATAAAAGATAGGAATATTTGATTTTATTAAAAAAAATACTTACTAAAGATATTGTGGTGCTTCAACATGTAAGGGTGTAAGTTAGTTTCTACCCCCACTTTCTATCAACTTATTCTCAAAGTATAAGTCATAGCAATAAAGCGAAAATGATGGAAATGTTTTGATTATTGTATGCATTAGTGGTGGGAAGCCTTATGGATATCATGATCCGTATAATACCAGACATTGCATAAACAGTAAGAGCGGTTAATATATTCATGACAAATCGTGGTGGACAACATGAATGTTATTAAGAAGGTCCTTATCAAAGGAACCTTAGATGTTGTAACTAGTTGTTAGATATTTTGTTTATTCAGGTTTTGCAAGTGATCTTGACATGTTTACACTTGTAGGAGAGACACAGGTTGTTGTAACTTAATCTAATATAAAAATTGAGACACAATGAGACATAAGCTTAACCCAAAACCTTAAAGCATTAAGTTATGGGTCATACTTTTTATATATTGCTCAACTTTTTTATTGTTACTCAATGTGAGACTTAATTCACACTTGGATTACCCAACATGTTAGGAAGTTATATAGATTAAAAATATTAATGGAGGAACTTTGATATATGCAACAGAAGATTATTCTGTATTGTAACAGTCATAGTAACATGCATCTTATTAGGAATTCAATCTTGCATTATAGGAGAAAATAAGAAAAACCTAGTAAATATTATAACAAAATTAGTTAGGAGTAATAAGTTTATATGGATTGATTTTATTGAAGGTTTATTGGAAAAATAATAATATGAAAGACAATAATAATGTATAGGGAAGATTTGATTAATTTAATCAAAATCTTTATGTAAAAGAATATAAAAAAAAAGTCTTAGGTTAAAAAATAATAGGTTTATGTTTATTTTTTTGTTATATAAAAAAACCGTTTATCTTATAAATTATCTAATTTTTTTTCTTTTTTTTACTAATGTATTACAATTTTTTATTTCTTAAAAATAAAATTATTATTTTTGTCTTAAATTTAAAGGATTTATTATAATTTATTCTAGTAAAATTGTATTATTACCTATTATTTTTTTATCTTTTATTTTAATAATTAGTTATTACGTCATTACTCTAATTATTGTATTACAAAGAAATATTATCAAAACAGCCATTTTTAACGGTGTTTTATAGAAGAATGATAAATTTCAATCACCCATCACTTTCTTCATATTCCAGAAAGACCATTGATGAAAAAGAAAAGCGAAATTTTAAGAAAACTTATTTGGAAATGAAAATCCACATGCACTGGTGGTGACATAAAAGTAACAATCTTAAGAAAACAATACAGGACAGAAGAAAAAACAAAGAGGAGCTTTGTTGATACGAAGAGACCAGCGCAATGTGATGTGACGAGGTCGTATAGACACAGGTTGTTCTCTAAATAAAACTAAAGTTTCATTTGAATAATATATATATATTAATTTTCTTATATGAATATTTATTCCAGATAATATTAAGGTATCAAAAAAATAATTTTAATTTTAAATAAAAAGAACAACAAAAAATTTGGTTGACGTGACCTTGGGTGAGTTCATACTTGGACCTGTGATGTCAGGTTGAGACAAGTGGAAATCAGATCACACGTCATCTCATGCACCTGTATCTTTTGTATTTTTTATTTTTGTAATAAATTGTATTATAAATAAATTAAATTTGATGTTTTGAAATAAAATTTCAAATTTAAGTATTATTGTTTCTTCTATCGATTCAGAATACATAGGTTCTAAATCTCACTCTTCATACTTATAAATTTTTTTTTAAAGGATAAAATTAGTTAACAAATTAAATCAAAGTAGCAGATTTTAAATAAATGATTAAAGCAATACTCAATTAAAAATTACTTGTAAACAAACTATAAATTTTATTTTTTTTATTTTTTTATTTATAAAAATCATATATTAAATGAATTAAAGATAGAGAAAGAAAACAATTAAAAAATAAGATCTGTATATCTATAGTTTTATATTTGGTAATTAATATGCATTTCACAAAAACTAAAAAATGTATGTGGAAATTAAATACCTTCCAAATCTTGTCATAAATTATAATCACATTTTTTTCTAATTTTAACATAAATTTATTTTATTATATTTGTAATAAAATTGAATTACATTTTTTTATTTTTTAAATCAATATTCACTTATTTTTTATGTTTTGAATGTGATATTTCCTCTCTTTATGTTTTTAGTAAGATCAAATCCAGTTCTCTTAGTTTATTTATAAAAAAAATATTTTTTTAATATCTATATTTTTTAAATTATTATGTTTTTAAATTTTAATTTTAAATTTTTAAATTTCATCACATTTTATTTAAGTTTCAGTGAATAATATTTTTAAGGATGAAATATGTTTTTTTTTATGACAAATATTTATATTCAACATAATTAAATTTTTTATTTAATTTTTATATATTATTAATTATTGTATCAAATTTTTAATCATCATGTTTAAAATAATTATAGTTTTATCATATATATATATATATATATTTAAGTGTCAAAAAAAATATAGAAACAATTTATTAAATATTGTTCAAAAGTTACTGAGAAGACCTCATGACTCTGACAATAAATATAAAATTTAATAGTAGAATAATTAAAATTGTATAAAATTAAAATAAAATATTTTTAATTATATTAAATATACATACATATATATCAATATACATACATATATATATATATATATATATATATCATATATATATATATATATATATATATATATCAATCAGTATTCTATAAAAAATATTTTATCTTATATTTAACTAAATAAGTGAAAATAATATGATGTCTTAAAAGTACAAAAGATACAAATATTTACTTAAAATTATAGAATATGTGAATGTAATTTTATTAAAATTATGAAGAAGATAAATGCTTGTTTTTAAACCAGACGGAAATAAGTGTTTTTAACATAACATTAAATGAGACAAATGCAGTTTTTTGAAAACATATTTAAGTTTAATTAAGTTCTTAGTACATGAAGTTTGTAATCATTTTGATTATTTGTCTCCAAATAAAAAAATTAAGTCTCTCAAAATTCGGAAAATATAATTTTAATCTTTAAATATTGAATTTAAAGTGTTAAAATGAGTTTTTTTTTAATTTTACTTGTATTTCTTTAAATTTAATATTTAAGAAGTAAAATCATATTTTATAAAATAAGAGATTTTTTTTTAAATCTGAGATTGAAAATATTGTGTATATGAGGATTGGACATTGGTCTTTAAAGACAAAGATATTAGTTAACCATTAAATCATTGTAATTACCTATTAAATTGGCAAGTAAAAAATGTCTACGTAATTTAGTATCAGATAAAACAATAAATCTTGATAAGGCAAAATAAATCAACCGCTATAATGGGCCGAATTGCTCTGTTGGACTCGGAGAAAAAAAAATTTAACACAAATTAAAAATTATTTGAATTTCTAATAAATTAATTATTAGATAAATGTATTTTTTTTTATATTTCTCATAAATCTTTGTGAAAAAAATCTAACAAAAAATAAAAAGTTAAATAAAATGAAGGGATAATAATAAGCGAGGATGTTAATCGGGTTGGTTTATACGGGTCGGGTCGATATTGACACCGTGAACGGGTCCGAGGTTAGTGAATTACATTACATACATAGGGGTTTCGAAAGAACGTTCTAGGTTTCTGGGGTCTTTGACTCTTTCTTCTTCCTTTGTTTGTTTGCATTCCGTGAAGCACCGCCACCGCTGTTTAATATCATTTATTCAATGGCTATGAGATCGTGGCTGAGCCGAGGATCGGTGACTCGTGTGATGGACTCAACGAATCGAGGGGCTTTCAGTCGCTTCTTCAGCGACAAAGGTCGCGTTCTCAGCGAGGAAGAACAGGCCAAAGAGAACGTCTACATCCAGGTACTCTCTCTTTCCCCCTTTTTGGAATGAATCTCCGTAACCCTATGTTACATACTTTTCTTGTGTATTCAGAAATGGGAGAGGGAGAGATTGGAGAAACAGAAGCTACAGGCTGAGAAGGCAAGGGCTGAGAAGAACAAAGACACTGCTGATAAGGTACACGCTTTTCCTTTCCCTTTCCCTTTTGCTCTATTCATAACCCTACCCATATTTTTTGGTGAAATATTATCCAATCTGTGTTTGTGAATAAACGAGATTTGTTGGCATTGCTGTGTCGATTACCTTATTTTCCATGCACCTTTTTTTTTTTTTTTTTTTAAATGTTACTTTTCATATTTAATGTTGTGAAGATCACGATGAAGTTCAAACAGATGACTGTTCCTTTGGGATTTACAGAAGTTTGTAATCCCACATCCATCGTTTTGGACAATATTTTACCATGATTTCTGCGATTCGTTTATTCACTCAAATTCAAAAGGGCTTTTACAGAACACTGAACTTACTCATTGTGAATCATGATCTACCATTTGACCATCTCTTTTGTGGTTTCAAATTTCATTGTTATTATTTTTGTGTGGACCCCAAATTTCATTGTTATTATTTTTGTGAGGACGGGTGACTGGTAGGACTGTCTAGATCTTCCATGCAATAATTAGCAATTGAGATCATTTGAAAATTCTCTTAACTACTTTTCATTTTGGGGAATTAGTTCAGTGCTTAAATCTTCTCTCTGTTTTTGCAGTGAATAAAGAAACCAACCATTTACCCTCCAAATTATTATATTACCTTCTAGCCCAAAAACAAAATAATAAAAATATTTTAACTAATTCTCAAGTATTGAATATCAATCACTCTAATCCCTTAACTGATGTACTTCAATAAAGTTCTAAGATCAATTTCAAGTGTTTTTTTTTTTTTTTTAATATTTGAGGGACTACTTAGCATGATTTGTGATACTTTTTATGATTTGTGATACTTTTGAAGACTAAGTAAAACTTTTCCCTTTGAGGACTAATTTTGAGAGAATAGTTATTCAAGTATGAAATTGATGGTTTATTATCTAATGCGATGTTCAGAGAGTAATTTTATACCCTTGAAGGACTGTTCTGTTCTATGATAATTTGTTTGCTTTTGCACAATTTTTGGTTAAATTCAATTTGGTGTAAACCAAGGGAGCCAAACAAATCTAGGTGGGTTGGGAATGTCCCATCAAGCTATGCTTGTCCTGTCATAAAATGAATTTTATGATCTAATCTTTGAAATGGAGGGCCTTGAGTTTTTCATTGCATCTGTTTTCTAGCAGCTTGGTTGCATTAGAATTTTATTGTGAATATCATGTTACTTGCCTTCTTCCTTTTACCTCAATTTAACACTCATTTTTTCTCTGCAGAAACCTCAGAAAGAGTGACTGTATCCTTCGCACAAGCCGTCAAGGTCATTTTGTGGGAATTAAGCATGGGGAATAAAACACAATGGCCCTGAGTGAACTTTGGTCTTTGTATAGATTGTGTTTCTTGTTTATCTGTAGTTTCTTCAGTGGTGATGGATGAAACCATATCATTGCATCCCACTAAACATGGTACGCTTGTTATGATGTGATCGTTTCCAGTTAATTTTCACCTTTGTGCATTGTCAATACCAAAAATAAGTAAGTTAATATTGATTGTGGTGATTTAGTTTGTTTCTTTGAAGTACAGAAATCAAGTTATATAAGAACATATATAAAAAGAGAAATGTTTTGAGCTTTTCTTATAAAATATATGAATACCTTATAGCCATTTTGAATTAATATTATGAGTCGCGCCACCACAGTAAAACTGCTAAAAAACTACATAAGCGGGGCAATTCACATCAAAATTTGTAAAAAATAAATCATACCAAATTAATAATGTAATTTTAAAAAAGTAGAATCAAAAGTAGTTTTATATTTTTGCATGTATATGTTAAAGTTAAGTTGTACAATTTAGTTTTTTTTGTTACTAGAGAAGTTGAATGAGATATTTTTAATAATCAATATCATTATGTTTTTTGTACAAATTATTTAATTTATAGCTTTATATTTTAAAAAATACTTGATAAAAAAATTTCGATTTGGGATAAAAGCTGATGGTTTGTTGAGGGTTGAAATAAAGTATTCTTAATGGTAACTGATACAATTACAGAAAATGGGAGAAATTACGGGGATCTAGATGAAAGCCAAATGCAATCTAAGGTTTGGGATTTAAATTCGAGTTTTTTTTCTTTTGGGTGTGCATCAAAAATTAAATTAACCCAGGAGATGCGGCAGAATGTAGATGTTTTGGAAGGAATTTCCGAAAGAGTAATTTTCTCTTTAATCCGTGAAAATTTTTAATCTCTGTTAACTCTGCTATGGTAATTTACTCTGGTTCCTTTGTCTGTTAACAATGAAGAATAAAGTGAATATTTGTGTTACGACAATAATAAGTAATTAAAAATTCAATGACAAAAATCCTATCTATATAATTTTAATGGCTACCTTAATTATTTATTCATTTTTACAGGTATGAGAATTTTCCGTTTTTAGTTCTTATGTAAGTTGTAGTTTTAAACACCCCATTCTAATTTTTGTGGTTTCGCTGTCAAGTGTTGGATAACGCTGTTAATGAACCAACAAACGTGAGATAACTCATTTAATCGACACTAATCTTAAACAGTCTTCGTTAACATTTGACGACAAGAAACAAAAAAAATGTTGTAACTACATGACCAAAGTAAAATATCTTAAATTATAAGAAATAAAAGAAAAAGCTAGGCTCTGCTTTTTTGGGCCTGAGGCATGGGTGTAAATGCAAGTTCACACTCGTAACTGTACCATGTTGGAACCTCAAAATTTCCATTCAGAATTCTTAGAAATATTGGTTTATTAATTGGTGTCTATAGAACGCGTATGGTTTACAGAAAGCAATAGTTTCTCCTCCTTACTTAGCTGGTATGTTATTTTCTGATAACTTCACTTCGTTTATGACAAAAAACTATGTTTAGTTAAGGTGAAAACTAATCTTAAATCTTTGATTCAGTTCTGTCCTTTTATTATTTTAGAAATTTCTTAAATTGCGCTATAAATGGACTTTAAGGTACAACTGGTTTGGTGAAGTTCTGACTTGGGCTGAGAAAGAGAAATTACAATGATGCAGTGGGATTTGGATCAGTAAACAATGGGCGCCTCTGAAACACATCGCGTTATTGTTCATAAAAGTTTTCTGCAACGCTTTCCATTAGCTTTAACTTTTATTACCTTTAATAAGATTACAGGCTTTTTTACCTTAAAGGAGAAACAACCACCAAAACAGGCTTTGTTGCTGATTGAATGTATAGTATATACTTATACCCTAATTGCAAAGCAGTATCTGAAATGGACACATAAAAAGAATTTTCATTACTCTTGAATTCATCCTACAAGGTTCACTATTTGTATTCACTACCCTTTCATCCTCACTGCTTCATTCATAGGATTCACCAAGGTGCTCAAACATAAACTATACAAAAATATTAAATAATTAGCAACATTCCTAGTCACCCACCCTTGTCAGCTAGCAAAACCATAAAACTTTACAAACATACGACCCGAACCAAAGCTAAAACACTACATATACAGAAACTTCTATGATAGTAGTCTTCACATTTCAAAACCATAGTTTGAATACCCAAATGGACCCATTTGATCATGAATGTTGTTGGAAGGGTACTGCAGCATGTCTCGTGACTGCTGCATTGAACCACCTGGAGGAGGAACCCAGTTCTGATCAATGGGCACAGGCACTGAGTTACTGTCCACAGTGGTTATGTCATGGATGCTTGATCTTTTCCTCTCCTTCTTCCCAGAATTCTGGCGAAGAAAGTATTTCTGAGCATGACTCGCTACTTGAGTTGGTGTTCTTGTCACTACAACATTTCTTGAAATGCTTCTCCAATCTCCTTTTCCAAATTTACTGAGCCCAATGAGAAACAGCCTGACACACAATGAGTAAGTCAGCAACCACGAAATTTACATTGCCCTTCTGATTCATGCACTTGCACTAAGGACTCACCAGTACAGATAGTGGAATATGGATGTTGTGTGTGTGAGTTTAACCGAACTAACGTGTGAGAAAAGGCGAATTGAGGGTTGAAACCATATTCTAATGCATGCATGACAAGCAAAAAATATTGCAATGCAGATATTTGATATTTAACTTAATTAAGATTCAAAATTTAGTTTTCCTAAAACCAGTAACGAAAAGTGCATTATCGTAAGCGAAGATGATAAAGCTATGTCACAATAATTCATGCAGAGACCAAAAAACAGAGGACTCACAATTCATCATATTTCAAGTACACTAAGAGAATTATTTAACCAAAGAGAATGAAATTATATAAAACCAATTTAAAAAAAAAAAACGAAGTTACAGTTTTCATGAATAGGCGCCAGCTAAGTGCAGCTGAAAATTGAAAGCTTCGAAAAAAAGGAGATTCATTTTAGGAACAAAAATACACAGATAATTCCTCGTATTACACGACCAAACGATCATCCAGAAATAAAATTCCGGAAAAATTAACGAAAATATTTTTTTTTCTTGGTCAAAACAACATCAAAGTAAAGCAAAACCCAAAATTGGTTTGAACTTTTTCCCCTTCTTTTTTAAAATCATCACACGCAATTACGAAACAGCTCTCTGATAAATAAAAGAAAATAAACCCAAAATGAAAACCCCAAACACGAACACACGCAAAGAAGAAGAAGGAATCGAATTGAAGCGAAATCGTTGACAAACCTATGTTCCTCTTCCGTCCAAGGAGTGCCTTTCTTCCTTTCGTTCTCGCCCTGCTTCGGTTTGGACCCGAATGAGATCTGACTAGCGCTGTCCCACGTCGAAATTCCGGCACCGCCACTGAGTTGCGGCGCCAAGTCATCGACGTAACTCGGGACCTCGACTCGACCAGAGTCGATCTCGAAGACGTCGTGGACGAGGGCGTCGTAGTGTTCCCTGACCTCCGCCGGCGACTTGCCGGGAACCTGGTCGGCGATCTGGTCCCAGCGGTCGGGGAGGTCCTCCGGCACGAAGAGCAGAGCGCGCTCGAAGAGCTTGTCATGGTAACGAGTCCACTCAGTACGCTGGACCGGCTGAATCGGCCACCGAGTCACGCTGCTCTCGTGAAACATCTTGGGTGTCGTGTTCTGAGTTTAATTGTAAACAATGAACAAGGTGAGGTTCTGCTTCTTACGGTGGTCGTGTTTCGTGTTTCAATCCTTTGTTTCTTTCTTTGTTTTCGCTGACTATGTGAAACAAAAAAATATTTAGAGAGAGAAGGAGAGAGAGACTCGCTTTCTAGGAGATTTCGCCTCTGCGTTTGGTGAGAGAATTGGGAAAAAAAACGCGATTCATTTATAGGGGTGGCGAAATTAATTAAAGACAGGGTTTGAAGAAAATTAATATTTAAACTTTCGTTGATGGAAAAGCTTTTTTAGTTTTAGGTGGGGTTTGGGAAAATCTGTTCTGGTGGGTCCACCTCATCAGGTCTTCGATACCAACACGTTTTTGCTTTTCTTGTTTCTTTTTTGTTTCTTCTCAAACTGTACACTGCATGTTAAGCAACTAACATCTCTCTTTTCTTCCCTTTTTCCAAATTCATTACTATAATTAATCATTCTAGACACATACACAAACCCATCTCATTTTTCATTTTTCTTCTTCTTAATTTTAACTCTTTTACACGTGTTAGACTCTTCAATTTCGTGCTAATGTTATTTAGACTCATCACAACTTTTTTTTTTAGCCCTTTTCAAATATGTACTAAAGGATTTTGTTTTTCATCACACCATTTAATATTGGTAGAGATTGCAAAAAAAAATCAATATTTATGGTAATATGTATGACTATGCAATAAATTCGAAACGTTGTGTATAATGTCCTTGCACGCATGTTAAGAATAGTAATAAATATATCAATTTTCAAATAATATTATAGAAAATTATCAATACAAATATATTAAGAACAATAAATATTAATATTTTATTGAAATGTGAAAATATTAGATAGTTTAAAACTCTTAAAATGGAGAGAGAGATGTTGCATACTTACTACATTTAAAGTTTCTCAAAAATTTGCCTATTTTGTGCTATCAGTTGCATTAACCATCACTTGAAAAATAGGTACTACCATTATTCTCATACTTAAGTAAAAAAATACTGATTAACTTAATGAATATCAATCAAGTGTGTTAAATTTTATTAAAATTTTAATATTACTTCTAAAATATGATAGTATAATTATTATAAGAATATTTAAGAATAAGAAAAGTGTAATTATTTTTCATTAAAAAAAACAGAGATACTACAATTTTCTGACAACAATATTAAATGTCACTAGAAAAAGTAAAAAAAAATAAAAAAATCAACTCAGAATTAGTATCTGGAAGCATTCTCCAAAGTTCAGGTACTTGAATGTGATTCATTGCATGTGTTTATGGCTTAGTTGAATATCATTCTCTATAAACAGATTTACCATGCAATGCTCTCTCTACCACAATTTTTTGGGTCCCATTAATGTTTTCTGAAAATCGTTAATTATTTGCTATGAAGCTTTTCACAGTAGTCATTTTGGTGTGTATAAAGTGGAATGAACACGATTCCATTCTCTGACAATGGCTTACGTTGTTTTGAATGTGGGTGAGAGAGAAGACGGAAGTAGAACAAGTTGGTGGCAGAAACGTATTGGTTTATGCACTTCCCAAATTGGTTTCAAAACAAAGGTGCGAGTGCTTAGTGAATACAAGAAATTTCCATTTGATTGTGTTTTCCGAGTAACATTTTCTCATTCCAATTCCTGAAACCTCGCGTGGTTGAAGAGAGAAGAATGTGTTTCAGTGGAACTTCATCATCTTTTTCTGCATAAAAGAGGGTCTTGGTCAAACCGACACCAATTAATTACTCCTTCGCGAATAGAATCCAGCACCAACCGTTTTTAGTTTATTGGCAAATCAAATTTAACTGTAGAATCTTTTCTCTGTTTATCCTTAGAATCTATCTACCATTATCCATTCCACTTTTCCACTGAAAGTTCCAACTTCATATTTTTCCCTCCTGTTCCTCCTTATTTCTTAAATTTGCCTACTTTTATCAAAATAGTGACTTTATTCTTTGTGTTGATTCGCTTTAGATTTCTTGAACTGTAATATTTATCCACCTTGAATTCAAAATTGAACCATCTATCCATTCACTGTATAAAATCATAATTGTCTCAGAAGCACCATTCAGATTCAAATTCAATTCAATAAAGGTGCATATAATATGAGGTAGTTCACATGTTCAGTTAAATTTGCTTTCAGAAAATTTAAAATATTATAATTTGACTTTAAAAATGTAAGAATTCAATAAGAAAAATGTTTCTGATGCTTCAAATGCCAAGTGCGAGTATATAACTTAATAAAATATATTTTAATTAGATTATTGAGTTATTTACTAAACACTTTCAGTCACAATCAAGTTTTTAAGCTTTTACCCTTTTATTTCCTACCTTAGTTGTGTCATACAGGCCAAAAGTGTTATAGTTAATACAAAATAATATTTTATTATTAATAAGTATAAACAGTTTAAATGTGAAAGTCAACATATATATTCTTCAGTCAATAATATACCTTTGACTCATCGTTTTGAAATAACTACTCAATCTTTAATTTTTTATTAATGTCATTAAATAATATTTATTATCAATATTTTTTTAAATTAATTAAATATTAAATCTGTCTCAGTTCTATAACTATACTTTTTTTATATTATTTTATGAAATCGAATATGTAAGAGTTTTGTTGATAGCTAAAATTTAGAGAATTTAATTGATTATATTTAAGAAAATATTTTACTTTAAGGTTTAAAAAAAATACGAGATTTGAAAATGTAGATTGATATGTTTAATTTACCTTTTAAAAATATAATATTAGTAAGAATTATAGTTTTTCAAAATATGTTGTAATATGAAAATATTTTTATAAAAGATGTAACAGTTAAAATAAAAAATACTCCACAATTTAACACAAAAATAAATTCAATATTTACCATTCCTATGATTAATGGATCTGTGAACCATGTTTCTAACATGCAATACCTATTAATAAAATATTTGTTTTTTCAATCAAAATATTTCAATCATATATTTTATCATGTTTAAGTTGGTACTCCATAATCTTTAACCAAGGTCAATAATAGGGTAAAGTGAGTTAATATAACACATCATTATTTTAACTTTTATTATATTATATTATTCAATATTTTAATTTGTTAAAAAATTATATTGTATAAATATTTTATTTAAAAAGACATTAGAAAACAAAAATCAAATATTAAATAGAAACAAATGTTATATTAAAGAAATCGTAAACTCATTATCTTAGAAAAAATAATTACATATTATATATATATATATATATATATATATATATATATATATATATTCACGAAAGATTGGTAAAAAAAAAAATTGTTTCTTTCAAAATGTTAATTTGTCTGATTTTTTTTTTTACAAATTTAATATCTAAATTTGTTTAAATAAAAATGGAGTTATGCAACGTAACAAAAATTTAAACAAATATTTACTAGTGCACTCTAACAAGCTTATAAAAAATCTTTAGAATATTAATTTATAATAACTGTAGTTATTATGGGCCTATCTAATATTATATATTTTACTTAAAATCTTTGGAAATGACTTGTACTTATCTCTTAATTATTTTTTTATGCATGATCTAAGGTCAACGTGTGCCAATAATATTAACTGAACAATAAACTTGTACGTGACATAACAATTATATTTAAAGAATTCAAATGTTTTATTACCGACCGTACGTCTGACAAATAAGTGTAAAGTGTAAACTTATTGTAGGTCACATTTCATCCGTACAAGTATCCAAAATTAAATTATACTAAAAAATTGAGATAGGTAAAATCGTGAACTACACATGAATTGTCAGAAATTTTAACTATTGAAAACTTGAATAGTTCAGAAATTATGCAACTTCGTGATTCGGTGAAAGTAGATATAAGGGAAGAATACAGAGACACCATGAATACCGTGTTGCGTTTACTCACGACAAATCCAATTAAAATCGGTCAGAAATTATTCAACTCTTTGATTCGGTGAGAGCGATGTAAGGGTAAACATACAACATAAGTACCGTGTTTCATATGAGAATACAAAGAGAATTCGCGCACAAAATTACACGTTATTATTTATTTTTTATATAAGGAATATAATATTTATTTTATAAATTATTTTCATTTTTTTATTAATATATTATATAATTTATGTTTCTTGTTTTAAAAAATATTATTTTAATCTTATATTTAAAAATTATTGTAACTTTATCTGATAATAAAATTTTATTATTGGTTTTCTTTTTCTTTATCATCATTTATTTTAATTATAAATTTGTTATTTTGATTCTTATTATATAAAAAATATTTTTTTTACAAAAGTATAAAAAGGATTACAATTTATTTTTCATATTATTTTAAATTATTTTATTGTTACCACAACTTCATCCAATAAGAAATACAATAATTAATATATTATGTTATAAATCAATTTGGTGGAGTAAAAGTATTCAAAATTTAATCCATCTAGAATATAATAAAAGGTTAATGAATAAATTGAAATATAAATTAAATTAAATTTTATTGTTATCCTTATCAATTTTTTACCCGTCAAAATTTTAAAGTTAAAAATATTTATTAAATTAAATTATTTATTATATTTAAATATAATACTATTTTAGATTTGATTAAACATTAATAAATATATTAAAAATATTTTTGAATGTATTAGTATTTGGTTTTGAATTTGTAAGAATTATATCTATAACTCTTTCTTAATGATTAACACTCAATGTAATAATTAATGTGAAAATAAATATTATAAAATTATTTTTAATAGAAAATTTGTTTTAAAAAATTCTTTAGAATACATTTATTGTTTCATAACAACATTCAAGGTTTAAGTCATATTTAACCTATAAATTTAACCATTTAATAATAATAAAAATATTAAGAAACAATTCAATTCACTTTTATATTAATAGAAAAACATGTGATGTTATATGTTATTATCAAATAAAACTGTAATCATTATTTTTTTAATCATGTAATATTTAAAAAAATCTTATCTATTA